CTTTCATGAGCTTCATAACAGAACAACTGTGAGATTTATCTCTTCATTACTGCCTCTGTACCGCTTCAGGAACCTGAAATGGACGGGGACAAATTGATGGACAAATAGAACCAGTTCTGAAAAAAATTTTTTTGACACACACAAATATAAATACATATGAATATGATACAATATTCATAAGAATATTGCCTTAAGGTGATTTTAAAAGCATGAAATATTATATGAATTGGGGGCATTTAAACTATTTTGAGGACCTACCTAAACCACATTGTGTAATGCAGGAGGGATTCTGCAGTATTGACCAGCTTTGCCTTCATGACTTGGCCATCCTGGAAGATTTTTAAAGAGCAAGTCTGTATGCAATTTCTTTACTGACCTATATATAAATCTCACTTCCACAAGTTGAGTTTTGCATTATTTATTTCTAAGAGAAAGGCAAAAGTTCAAAAAAAGCATTCTCAAAGAGTATTCTTCTCCTTTAAAAATGAGAAAAGAAAAAAAAAAACCAACTTTGAATTATTTTGGTAAACAAAAATGAAATCTGTTGCTCATTCCTGGAGCTAAAAATTAACCCATGAAGGGAAAGCTGCATTTTCTAGTAGGTATGAGTGACATGCAAGGTCCCTCTCCCTCTGCCATTTCATGTCAGTGAGGGCTGGGAAGCCCCTGGGATTTGTTAATGTATAAGAAATGCAAGAGCAGGACAATAATCAGTTGGACACAGAGTTTGGAGCTGATGGGATGTGCACAGGATGAACAGGGGCAGAAAAATGCAGTGAGCTCAGAAAACTTGCTGCTTCCAAGCTCCCTCAGACTTCTAGAAGCTGGCAGTCAGCTCTTATACTGGCAATGCAGAGCTAACAAACCCATACATTAAAATGTGATTAATTCTTTAACAGTCAGACATCTTGAAATGTAATGGAAACTGTGGTCAGCTTGGTACATATCAGCCCTTAAACACAGTAATTCTGCCACTCAACCCAATGTTGCATTTTCTAGCTGCCTCTCATTTTTGTCTTACACTTCTTACGTGCCTCATCTTTCAAAGAGAGTCTGAAAAAGAAATGATCACTGTTGAAGATAATATCCTCATTTCTATATATAGGGTTTGCATGCAGTTCTATCAAGTTCTACTCATAGTATTATGACATACAAATATTACTCATATTTCCAGACTGAGTGCTAGAGCTTCTCTCCAACACAGATAATGTGTCAAGAAATGACTGCCAACAAGTCAAGAAATGACTGCCAACAAGTTCCCTTTTATCCTTTTAAAGTTACTGTTCTACTGATGCTAATAAATGTCACAAGTGTTTTTCCAAGTGAAAGTGGTCAGGACACACATACCAAGAAGGACTTTTTGTTGTTTCATTTGCAACTGTTCCTACTGATGATCTACAAATCTGAAGACAGACAGTGGTCAGAACATCAACATTTCATGTACACAGTAAACAGTACTTTCACCTAAACATTTCACATATCTTTAAAGAAAACTGGGGCATTGAGTAGAAAAAGCTAAATTACTACTTTTTTCTTGGTAAAAATGGTATGGATATATCTGGACAAGGTTATAACTTTAAACACAAATACTTTCTTCTTTGAAATCAGTATTGAAAAACTATATTGTACTTGTAGCCATACAAAATGTTTATTATATTACAAATTATTTGTACACTATATTTTCACTTTATCATTGCTTTGTGCTCAGACAGTATAAATATTACAGCATGATTTTCCTTTCCCAGCAATGTCCTAACTGTCTTGATATAATCTTACTTGATACTTTAAAAAAAATTACAGAAACATATTACAAACAGGATAAAAAGGCATCATGAATGAAGAATGTAAGATGGTTTTCTGAATAAAGTGCACCACAATGGTTTCAGAGTGATGGTTCAGGAAATATTCAGTAGACTGCACATCATCCATAATAATACCAAACAAAATTAATTTTGAATCTCTAACTGGTCTTCATCAGAAGTATGAAGAGTACTTTGTTTAACTATACTGAACTGTTTTTTCTTTCTAGAAGGCTATTTAAATGCTTTTGTTAGGGGTTTTTCCATTTTCTACAGACATCCAAACCCTGGACATCTCTGTATTTTTCCAAAATTTTTAGTTTCCAGTATGGCAAAACACAAGATTCATTGTGTAAGACATGTGAGACTTTACCCTCAGACATTTTCACTAGAGCTATTAAATTACCACAATTTAAGAGTGGGAACAGACTTAAAAACGGAGTTAAGTGTCCAAAAGATGCTGTTTAAAACTGGAATGCCCTGCTTCCTGTGACTTTTTTGGGAATACATTGGTACATTACCCTTCCCACCTCTATGGCTTCAGCATGCCCATCCATGGGATCATGGCTGCTTGCATAATTTCAACCTCAGGAGAACTCTGCAAAACTGGACTCTAAGCTAGAGAAATTTATTACACAGCACATTTCACCCCCATTGCTCAGAAGGGACCATTTACTTACAAAATTTCACTGGGCTACATAGAATAATCATTCAAAAACTGAGATAATAAAGCTGATGCAGAATGTGGCTGGCACGACCTGGTGGAAGTTTCACTTCCCAGGTTAGCTCAAGCCAGCTGTGAACCAGCTTAGGCTAAATAAAATCAGCTGCTCTTCCATTATGTCTTCACCTACCTTACAGTGATCCAAATGACTGAAAAATAAACAGAATTCTGTTTGAGGGGTCTAGTGAAATTTGCTTTTATAGACAAAGCCCAATAGAGAAACTCGGCCCTGCTCTCAGTGAGTGAAACTCCCACTGAAGCCAACCAGAACCTGTCTTTCTGTGGCACACTGAGTTTGGCCCAGTATTTTTTAGTTGTTATTCTAAAGTGTGGTGCTCTTAGCCAGCTATTAATTTAACCCAATTAGTCTGTGTTGTATTACCCTGATAATATCAATATTACCTGGCTGACAGGTAACTGAGACAGCAGTCAGCCTTTACTAGACTTGTACTTACATGAAAAATTGAGTTTCTTTGGTTGTTTAGTATCCAAGTCACCCAATTGTATATTTGTGAACTCCAGACATAGCACATTTATATTGATCAGTAAAATTATCAGGGGTTTATTCTTTCTTTCTTTTTTTGTCTTTTTCCACTTAGTTTATGGAAATTTTATGACTATAGCAGACTAATCACTTATATAAATATACAGCACATATATACATAGAAATTACAAAAATACATTTTATTTATATCTGATTTTAAATAATAAAAATGAAATGTCACATTTATTGAAAGATTAGCTAGCATTCCAAATGCTTCTGCAATATTCAAGGTATTGGAGCAGAGGGTGTCTGTATATTCTAGGATAATTATGCATCACAGTCTCAGGGTTTATAATATAATTATTAGGGGGGAAAATAGCTCTGCTTTAAAAGTTTGTGCTTCATCAATTTCTTCTTCTATCCCCTCTTCTAGTCTTCTCTCTCCTTCTCACAATTTACTGATGGCCAAAAAGCTAAACCAAGTTCCCTTCCTCACATCAGTTAAGACCAAAGAAACTCAGGGAAATGAAATGATCAGACATAATAGCAACTGAGGATAACTAAATAACCCACTGAAATGAAGGACATTACCTTTAACTCCAGTTGACATCAAACACGCCCAACACAACAAATTTTGCAACAACTTCAGTTCCTGAAGCTAATTGCTGAAGGAACTGAAAACAACTGTTCATGATCTCCAACTAGTTTGCACAACTGCAAAATATTAACTACTGTCCCATCCCAAGTGGTTTGATTTTCTTTTGGGATTGGATTCCTACCACAACGCAGTGTAACAATCAGTGACCTTTCTCTTGCACAATATAAAGTCAACATCATTTCTGGCAATGCTCTCTTTTTCACAGAACATTCATATTTTTGTTAATCCATGTAGCTGTTAACTTATTTACATGTTAATATAGTAATTAGGTCCTCTACATTCAGCACTTCACAGTGCCAGCGCAATCAAAATCAACTGCAGCTTCAGGGAGCACTTTCTGGCATCACTTTAGTAGATAGCATTGTTAAAGAAAGAGGAAAAAAAGCACTGTGTTGAACAGAGGTTTCCTTGTCCAAGCAGGTGTATTCATTTTTCCAGGTTGGAAGGATTTAAAGGTCTCAGGTTTACCAGCTTCACATGCATTCAGAGTGAAAAGCCCGATTATGGAGCAAACAGGAATAACCTTTTTTCATTTCTCTGGGAAGCTTTTAGCACCAATATCCTTTGCTGGCTCTTCATGCATTGTATTCTCTCACGCTGAAAAAAAAAAATCTCCTCCATAACTCATCAGTGGCACTGAGGGACAAGGTAGCCACCAATGATGGAAATGTCATTCACCTTCTTCACAGTCCTCTCTTCTTTCACTTCTTTGCACTGTTAATAGGATGAAGAGACTCGGAGCTATTTACAGGACTTTTATTTGTATTACTTAATCATGTTGCATTCTTTTGCTTTGAATACAGTCTCTGGGATGAAAAGGCTGAAATGACTCTGCATTGCTGAAATCAGCACCCCTCATACAATGTCCCACAGCAAACAATTGACATGGCCACTGCCACACCAGCTGTGGCCTTCAGCAAACCCTGTTCTGCAGTTTTCTTCTCGAATCAAAGTTTTGGCATGCAGAAGTTATTTTCAGCAGCTCTGCCTCTGGGCCTGTAAATGAAACTTCTTGTGGCACAGACATGTTCAGCAGCATCTTTAGTGATGATGGGTCATAATACAAGAGCAAAGTGACAAACAATTGCATATGGTTGATCTCATCAGTGTGAAACAGTTTCCTGGCAGCTTTTCCTTAGCTGGAAAGCGGAATTTCCTATCTTCAGAGCTCTGTTGCTCTGCTTTCAGTCATTCCATAGTGCTGACTTTTCAGACAGATTAAAATGCCATCGCTTTGGCACAAATCACAGAAAGTTTGCAGCCAAAAACTAAAGGACTTGCTTTCCTGGCTACCCCGGGTCGCAAGACACAAACACCGTGCACAGAAGATATATATTAGACCTGGAACTCAAACATGTCTGTTTGCTTCTTGGCCAGCTTGGCCACTTCTTCTCTTATTGCCTTGACGAGGGCAGCGGTGGAGATGTTGGTGAGTGGCGCGTCGGAGGGGTCGTTGTCGGCCAGGCTCTGCTGGGAGGCGGCGGCGGAGGCCAGCGGAGCCTGCTCCAGGCTGGGGTGCAGGCTGCCCTGCTGGCTGTACTGCCGGGGCAGCCGGGAGGGCGAGTTGTGCTGGTAGCGGGGCCGCGGGTAAGCCTCGATGTAGCCAGGAAGGGGCACCTGCGGGGAATTGGAAATGCACAGGATTACGAGGAACGATCGATCGGCGGCGCCGCCCACCAGGGACCGCAAACCTCCCCGGGGCATGGCCAGATGTGACAGAGAGCACCAAATGGAGAGGATGCAAACCTCAGAATTCCCGGCTTCTATCAAACGCAGGGCGACCCCAGCATCTGGGAATGATTGGCATCTGACTCCACGATTCAGAAGGCTGAACAATTACTTCATTAAAACTATATTATATTACATTATACTATATTAAAGAGATACTGTACTAAAGAGATGCTAAAGAAAAACCCGTGACTGTCTCCAGACAGTCAGGACACAGCTTGGGCCTAACAGGCCAATTAATATAAACAACCACCACCAGAATCCAATTGAGAACTCACACTCAGTAAACAATCTCCGTAACACATTCCACATGTGCAAAAACAACAGGAGCAGTGACTAGAGATAAGAATTGTTTTCTCTTCTTCTCCTCTCTGTGCTTCTCCAGGAAAAATCCTGGGAGAGAGAATTATGTCTCTCTCTGTTCAGAGAATGTGAATGCCACAAGTTTCTGCCTACAAATGCCTGTCCTGGCATGTGCCATCTATGCACGTCCCAGCTGTGGCAGCACAAAGCACATCTGCTTGTCCTCATTTATCATCACTTCCAAAAGTCCAAGGGAAAAGATGTTTGTGGAAGTGTGCTTGCTGCTTAGCAAACACTTTGGTTTTAAACAAACAGCATGATTTTAGTACACCAAAAGCCTGTACCAGAAAAGCAGTTTTCTGATTTCTGTCTAATCCAAGCCAGCCAAGTGTCTGGCCTCACTGCTGCTGACAGAAACTCACTAGATCCAGACACCAGGGATAAGCTCAGGTGCACCAACTTGGAAACTGAAGACTCAAAGGGATGTTTGACTGCTCAGAAGTGTCAGAATTTCTGGCCATGTCTAACAGAATTACATAATTTTTGTAACACCCCATGTTAGCTAAAACTAAAACAATAATGTAGGCCCTTTAGTCATGGTGAGAGATTAAATTTCTTTCACAAGTCCATGAACCACGATACCAGTCTTTTTGGCAGTCAGAAGATTTTAATGCATCAAATAAAAAACAGTATTTATGATTTCCAAAAGTCTATAAAATGGGAATCTACGGGCCTTAATTTTGAAGAAGGCTTTATGTCTGAAACTTGACCGCTAGGATTTACACATCCTCTACACAGCCTTGGGCATCCATCAAATGCTGAAGAGAATGTCAAACATGTTCACTACAGTGTGATGAGAAAAATGTAGGATGCAGGTCTGATATGAAAGTGATCTTTAGGTGCAGGCACCTCTGTTCAGTTTACAACAGGGTCTTCAAAAGGTGATTTTACTAGAACAACATGTGATCACGCCACTAGAGGCCACCAATTTACTGTTTTCACTAACCAGCATCCAGCAGTTCAGAAAATAAGTGCTTTGTGGATACAGTTGCCTTAGCCCACAAAACTTAGTGTTTCAATACTTACCATTTGTCTCAAAGAATAATACACTACAGTAATTGTGCTTATAAAATAGTTCCTTGTTGTCAAATCTCTTGTTTCCTCTACTCCCTTGTTTACAGTCTAGGCTAGCAGAAATGTGTGAAAAATGAAGAATCTTATAGATATTAAGCCTCTGTTCTCAATAATTTTAAGAAAATCTTGGAAGTGTGATCAAGCTAGAGTCTAGAGGCTCAAAAACCAGGACATGTCCAGAAATTCAAGCCTTGAGTATTACTTCAGATCTTTATGCTATTCACTTTTATTCAGGCTTTCTGACTGTGCTATATTGTAATGCTATTACTAGCTCCTCTAGTAATGATTTTCAAATAAAGACAATTTCTTGACAGATTTGCAAATTCATTGTAGAAACTGCAGTACCTTCTACATTTTAACCTCTTCTGCATAGCCACTGGAGGGTTGAAAATCTGAGTAGCAAGGAGTTGTTAAAGCTCTGCCATGGGTAAGTGAAAAGGAACATTTTTTTCCTTTGTATTCTATATTGCCATGGTTATTTTTCAGACATTTTTTTACATCCCTCTCCATTCCTCTTTCCCTGAAGACAAGGAAACCCACAACAGGGTTATACTCTTCACTTTCCAGAGGAAGGAGCTGGGGACTGGAGACTTGGTTTGCAGTTTTGACCCGTTTGTTTCAGTCTCCACATTTGACAAGTGATACCTAACTCTTTTTCCACAGGACTGCAATCAAGAGTAGGGATACAAAAGGGAGAATGCATGGGAGACAAGTAAAACCTCCTTATTTTGTTTCATGGCTTTTTTCCTTCTTAGAGAAAAAGTTTAAAATCATTGCTAAGATACAAGGGTCAAAAACACACATAAAACAAATAAATAAACAAAAAACAAACACTAAAATAACAAATGAAAATAAATCTTTTTCATGCTTTAAAAGGCAGCTCTGAGAAGGAAATTGATACCAGAGCATCACAAGCCTCCAGGTGTCAGGGGCACATCAGCAGGTGTGCTCAGCTTACAAATGAACAGCTTCTTTTTTTTTTTTCCTGACAGTTCAGTCTTCAAATTCAGACTTGCATCTCAAAGTCATACTGAATTGTCTTCCTAACAGGCATCGGGAGCAGTAATAAAGAGTGAACAACAAAAAAGCTGCCCCCAGGAACATTTATGTGACTGTGTTGTATCCTGCTTAGCTGCTCAAAGCCAACTTAGATTTCAACTGCAATTCATTAAAATGTTCTGTTGATGATTTGCACAAGGAAATGGAATCTGTCTACCAGGTTTTTTAGACAGAGTGGTTCTGCATAGATACCAGATGTGAGCTCAAGCAGAAGAATTCATCTTTTTTTCCTTGTGTAAAAAAAAAAAGCCCTACATTTGAGAAATTGTTTCAAACATGATAAACTACTGCAATTCATTTTAGGATGTTTCAACTTCAATTTTTGAAATGTAGGTTTACTTTGGGCTAAAAAATACATCTGTTCCAGTATGGGATTGTGCAATTAATTATTTAATTTATGATCTGTCCCTGCAGCCTTCGGGAGGATTTGAAACACTGCACAGCAGGGCTGCAGCACTGCTGGGAGGTAAGACTTGGGAGCCAGGCTGTCTTGAGAGAAGCCTCCAGGAGGGTAAGATGCTTCCCCAACTTACAAACAGCTCAGGACTGCCTTGAGAGGCAGCATCGCCTTCTCCTGACATGTGTCTATCTAAAAATTTAACCTTTCTCAAGAAAGAAAAATGACATCTAACCCACCAACTTTAAACAGGTGCCAGGGCCTAACCTAGTGAATGATTCCACCCTCTAAAGATCTTGCTCACAGTTCATGCTAGGAACAGCTGAAGTATCTGTGTCTAAGCCATCTCTTATGGCTTTTCACTGCTAGAGATTATTCCCATTCAAGGAAAAATTATCCTTTTCTGCTTCTTTGTTGATCAGTGAAGAATTGCTGAAAATCCCTCCTGTGCAAAACACAGAAAACATGTGTGGTTAGAAAAGCAGGAATGCTTACAGAGTCTGCCCACTGCCCTGGCAACTCATTCTCCCCAGCATAGGGCATCCAGGCTTGGTTCCTGTAGGCAGTGGGAGGAGTTGGGATAAAGTAGCCTGTGAAGCCAGGTCGGTTTGCTGGAATGGCAAACACTGCTGGTACCGTATTTCCTGTCAAAGGAGAAAAGAGTAGGCATCATTAATAGCTGAGATTTCAGTTGAAAATCACAAGATAGTGCTTATGACATAGGGAATTCATGTTTGTTTGTTGAGGTTTTTTGTTTGGGGTTTTGGGTGAGTTTTGTTGTCCCACCATCTGACTAGAGCAGCTTCATCATGCTGGGAAATACTGGAGAAGGCAAGATTTGCTGTTGTCCTCATAACCATGTACGGCCTTCATATAAAGAGTCCCTAGGACTTGATCCTTGCAACAAATGATCTTCGTCAAACCTTTGACTCATTAGAGAAAAGGAATTTTTCCCCTTAAATTTGCCTCCTTGTATTCAATTTTCAGCTGTTGTTATCATGGATTTCAGGGTAATGCACCTCTCTTTTTGCTGTTTACCCAGTGTTTCTTAATAGCTATAGTATTAATATTATTACTAATATCTATATTACTATATTATATCAATATTATTTGTAGGTTAAAAACCTACAAAAATGAGTGACTGATATGTTTAACAGGCTGTACTCTCAGCAATTCCATCATAAAACTTCAATGCTTCTGTAAAAAATACCAAGGTTCTACCTGCTCAGTTCCTTTCCCAGAAAAAGTCCATGACTGCCATAAATTACACAGTTAAAACTCAAATAAATATTGGTTGACTCCAAATCTGGCTTATCACCTCTTGATTAAGATGCATGCATAGGAATATCCAGGAAGCCTCCTGGATTAAAATCCCACTATCACATTCCAATTTGTGTGGAAGGAGCCAGAGTTTCAGCCAGATCTCTGGGTAGGGTCACATCTGCTTTCAGGGAAGGTTGATTCCTGTGGCCCACAGAGATGCAAAGAACAATTTGGTACAGAGATTATCCACTGGGCTGTCTGGAAGACCAGCATCCTAATGTGCATATTTCCCTTAAGATATCCTTGATATATTCCCTTTGCTATCATAACTCCATGTATTTGCTTAGTTAAAAATAGACTACAAACAACTTTCTTGCCCAGTTAAATCTTCCTTCCTCTAGTGTCTATTTACATGCAAAGACAGACTCCAGCAGTGAATCACCAACATCACACTGAGGGCATGAAATCCTCATCCCTTAATCCTGGATGGGACAGCTGCATCTCATCTTCATCAGTTATCAGGTTTTCAGTTTATTTCCTTATACTATATGGACATGTATTTTACTTTTCAGATTCACAGAATATAGCAAAAATAACATCAATTACATGAAAGCAGAAGGGCAGTAAACCCTTTAAAAACACAACAAAGTACAACTCCAACATTTTCACTGAGGAATGGAAGCACAGTAACATCACACAGCTGGGCAGATTCTCTGTACTAGAATTAATGCAGAGAAAATAAAATTTCTCCCCCTTCCAACAGCATATCATTTGAATATTGCTACTAATTGCTCTCAGTAGCTATGACACCACTATGCTGACAAAATCACAAATACATGGGAAGGCCCATGAAATTCATATGGAGTATAATTGAATTAGCATCAATTACTGGCTGCTTCAAATATCCATCCCCCAGAATCTCATTTACAGCCCTGGCACATTTTTGCTCCTGAACAATCTACAAGAGGGTTATGCTGCCTACTCTGACAGATGCTGGGGCGTTGCATGGGCACATACACAGAGATAGAAAGACTCCACCAGTGACATCCACCCCCAAAGCAGTCTCCATAAACCCAGATATTTACACTTTCTCAATGACCTCCCACAGAGTCTCAGGCCAGAATTGCTGTGGATGCAATCAGGGGTAAAAAAGAGGAGTCAAATATGGTTTGTGGCGCATTTTTCTCCAGAGCAGAAACATACCACCTCTATCCCAATTCCTCCAGCCCCATGGTTTGGAAGAGGGTGGGCTAAGAGAAGAGGTGTGGTCAATCATTTGTCCTTCCAGGTCATAAACAGGACAAGGGTTCCTATTTTAAATGAGTTAGCAAGGCTGAAAATGAGCATTCTTCATACATGTACAGAGAAGAAAGTGCTGCTCCTGTACATGGCACATGGCTTCCACACCAAAACACTCTTTTAATTTAACCACAACAAAAGGAGCTACTACTCAAAATGAATATTCAAATGGCTAATGCTGTACCTTATCCTAAATTATTATTGCAATGTCCTTATCTCAGAGCTGATACTGGGCTGCATGAGAGTGAGATTAGGCATTAACATTGCAAATCAGCACCTGCAGCAATGTTTCTTCATGTATTGAGGCTATAAAAACTTATTTTCATATCAGAGCATTAGAAACCTTGCATTACAACTGCACATTTCTCACAATGATCCTTGTCTTTACTTGCCTGTATTACACCCTTTTGTAGCACCTGTCATATATGAAAGTTTCCTTCAACTACTCCCAGAATTATTCTGGCAAACTCCACAATGTAAAGGAAGGTCATTTTGTCTCTTCTGAACTGCAGCCACCCTTCAGCAACACACAGTAATAAAATCTCCCCATCACTGGATCCAATCAAAAAGTGTATCCCACAGACCCCATTACTGCACACATAAAGAAGAGGTCTAGGTAGTGTGGCACATTTCATAGCTTGAAATGTTTTGAAATGAGAGTGTGAGCATCTGCTCCTTTCAGGTACTGCACCGTTTGCAGAAGGCATGACAATAAGTGAGAGTAGAATGGATCCTTCAAACCTACTGCATTTAATTAATTGACAACTCATTTGCTTAGCCACATTATGATTCTAAGTCAGTGATGTCAAAGACAATGCAGATAACTCTCTGTTACTTCTGAGGAAGCTAAGAAAGAATTTCTTTCTGGCAGATTAACAGAGCAATGTCTAACAAACCTACTAATTTCAAAGCTTGGAACTAATGGAAAATTCTTTTGAATATTGTAAGCTCTTTTCCATAATGCTTCAAGAAAACACATTTTGCCAATAAAAACCCATTTGAAAATTTTTTTTCCAGCTAAATATTATCCAGACACCATAAAAAAATCTCATGATTAAATCAATTAATTTATAAATACAACTCGTATCAAAAGGACCAGGAACTGACTAGACCTTTTAAAATGGGACTTTTAGACCAAAGACAAGTTCTGGGCAGAAACTATGTTCTCCAGAACAGGAGAGGTGAAGAGCTAACAGATTACCTTTGACCTTGAATAGCACTACTGCCTTGTGTTTTGAAGGGAAAGGGCCATGTACCTTCAACCTGCCTTCCTCAGTAGCCCCCTGTTGTGACAAGGGTAGGGGTAAAGTTTCTCAAGGGGAAAGGGAGCCTTTAAAAAGTTTTCAAGAACTTGGATCAGTATTCTTGACTGACAAAATATTGGAAGGATCTAACTCATTTCTCCCCTCATTTCTCCCCTATTGCCTGTCTCTCCCACTTTGCTTGGTTGGTACAAAACGCAACACAAACAAGTCACGCAGCTGTCCCAATACCGCAACTTATTTTGCTACCAACACCCTCTATATCCTCCCTAAAAATTCTACAGTTTTGCTGGGTTTTATCAATTCATAGTCCTGATTATTGTGCCAGCAGAATGGCATACTTAAACAGAGAACATCTGGGACATTACTGCTGGATCCTACCTTCAGAAAAGGCCATTTCCTGGTGCTGCTGCAGGATGAGTATTTTAGGTGCAGCTGGGGCACTTACAAAGGGACAGGCCATCCTCTGCAGGGCTCCTTCAGCTGCACCAGGAAAAACCCCACCTAATACAGTCTTTCCTCAAATAATCATCCTTATTTCTATATCCCATACTTTCATTTCTATCTAAAATAACTTATAAGGCTCCCAAAGTTGAACCCGCACTATTTTGTCACCTGATTGAAAAGCTGATTGTTCGAGTGGACCAACAGACATGGGAGCTCTGGAGCCCGGTGCAAAAGGCGTCTGATCATGATGCTGGGCCTGATCTGCTCCACTGGACTCAGGTATTCTCACTTTGCTGCCAATATCTGATGTAGACCTGTGCGTTAAGAAAGAAAACAAATACAACTTTTTGTCATTCTGACCTACAGATGTGATTTGTAGCCACATACACGCCTATCAGCTAGAGCAGGACAAGCCAGTGAGGAGCAGTGTGTCCAACTTTGCCCTGGCATGACAGAAATCTGGAGAACAACTGCACAACACAAGTCTGGAGAAGTCTGGAGAAGTTTGTAAACAGCCCTTTTAGCCTGGTTGCTCTTTTTACCAAAGCATTGTATAAGTTTGAAGCTTGCTGCTTCAAACAAATGCCTGTGTTTGTAAAACCAGAGCTTTACCATAATTAATTCACCAGAGCTTTACCATAATTCACCACCCAGTCTACAGTGTAGGTGGCATGGTATCATACAGCAGGAGAGCACTGTGGTAAATAACATTACTACACTTAGGAAGTGCCAAGGTCTTTGGAAATGTTGCAAGTCCAGGAAAGCAGGAGAATGATGGTGTGAATCATCTGCCTCAATCCAGCACGCCATTATGACAGCTGAGGCAAAGAATGCTCTAAAACAAACAAGAGCCTGCAGTTCCTAATTTTATTGACACAGACAGGCTAATAGAAAATTCATTGTTATTTCATTTTGTGTTAAAGTGAAATAAAAACAACATGTTTCTAATTTCATGAATGTATCTTTTTAAGTACCTCTTCAGGGTTTGCACCAGTTCTTATTATGACAGTGGGTTTTAGAGACCATGCCTAAAATAAAATAACAGATAAATACCTCCTGAGAGAGGCAACAGCCACAGGACCCGTTCTGGGAGGGACAGGTGGGGGAGGAGAACCCATTACCATCTCAGGAAGCTGAGAAAATCTATAAGCCTGTAAAAGAGAAAAATAAATATTTTCTGAAACACCAGTAGATCTCAGTCAAATTGAAAAACAAACCAAAATCAGAAATTAAATAGTTGCTCTCTGTGCCAGTCAACTGGAAGGTAACTTTTTGGGCCATCAATAATAATTCCATTTATTTGGGAATTTACAGTGCTTTGGTGATTTTTGAATGTGGAAGAAAACCTGAAAATTAGCTCAGAGACAAGATGAAGTCTAATTAAAATAAAATATATTAAACACTGTCTCTGTGACAGTGTTACACGTCTGCAACCTGCTGGCAAAGCAGATCTGTTGTGATTATGTGAGACTCAACAACTGCTTTGGATCATGGGAAAAAGACCTGAGTATTTTCACTTTCTCCAGGAAAAAAAGCATTTCAAAGATTCAGAAAGAACCCTCAGAGCAGTGTGTACTGCAGTGAAGCTGCCTGTGAGCAAGACATGTTTCAACCTCTTCCTTTCAGCCTTCAAGAGATGCAAAGAAAATTTTCCACAAAACCCCCAATAACTGTAACTTTCCAACACAGCAACAAGGGCCCCAAACAGTTCTGAAAAGGCAGACTGATCCTGAGGAACACCAGGCCCACCCACAAAGTCACAAAATTAAGCAATTTGCCTGCAGTAATTGTGAATTCCATCACCAATACATGTGAAGGAGGAGTAATTATGTGCATGAAACCCAGGGCACCCAAGAAATGACATGAAGGACAACATTTTCCTCCTAAATCCTTTGCACTGCTATAGATTAGAGGCCATAATTTTTTCCAAATACACTTAGAGGAATCTCTAATGATATCTCACTAGGTGCTTCACTACTTCATGGGTGAGGGTTCTGTTTTCCTATTGTTTTTTGTTTTATTATTTAGTTGTGATTTTTTTTTCAGTTGTGGATGAGACAAAGCCTCCTTTTGCATGACGAATCTTCAGAGCAATGCATGAGGATAAAGATAAAATCAGAGGAATAACAAATAAAAAATTTGGGTGAGGCTGACCACTATCAAGACACTGGCATTTTGAAAAAAAAAATGGGGTCCAGTGGTGGGACTTTGGTCCTCTAAATAAGAGGTATCTGGTTTACCCAGAGAAGCTCCTCCACAAACAGCAGTGAAAGTTAAAAGCACATTAAAACACATGGGATGAGTCACACTCTGTCTCCTGCCCAGAGAAAGAGCCTACAGGATTTACATGATTATTTCAGACTTACCACCTACATTTAGATTGGAATTTGGCAATATAAATCCCACACTATGTATCAGAAAACACTGTCTTTCTGTAATCATCTTGTAAAATTACATATTTAGACCATATTCCAAATGCCTTCATTCTCAAATACCTGCAAAACTAGGTCAACAAAAAGGAAAGGTAACTTATCAAACTGATTTTTGATGTGTCTCCAAGGGAAAAGCACTACAGCATCTTTCTCTGTCCTCTCACTGCTATCCCTTTTAAAGCAGGTTAGAAACTCTCAAAGGCATGTCTCTGAAAAGAATATTTTCTTGCATTCCACCTACAAAGTCTCCTAATATTTACTTTCACCATGCTACCATGATATTTAAAGCATTTCTACACTTAAGTGGGGGGAAAAAAAGTCTAAAAAGACACTGCTACATTTCTTAGCCAGGGGTTTGAAATACTGATTTTTAATGAAAGAACTGTAAGGAAAAAAAACAAATGTTATTTGCATCAAAGAAAACCTCAGCTATATTTCTCCTGATAGTGCTGGATGTGGAATGGTCTGCAGTGCCTCTCCTGCATCTCAAAGGCTGGCAGTGCCCTCACAGGCTGCCTGAACTCTCCCTTCTGGCTCCACAAGCCTTTTATCCCACATCTTGCTCTCAGCATGCATTTGTGCCAAGCATGAAATCCTTTTTATTCCCCTTTTTTATTTTAAAGGAACAGCACATGAGATAATGTTTGGGAGTGGAAAGCAACTCCAGACACTGTTTAGCCGTGTAGGGCAGAGACCCAGAGGTAGATTTGGGTTTGGAATATGGGCATCAAAGGAGGTATTAGGTATTTTAAGGAATCACAGTTCACAAATATGCTGCAACTTGCCCTGGAAATACCAGGGGGAAAAGTAAAATAGAAAACCTAAGCCTTTATTTTGCTGCTTACACGGGAGATGAACAATTTTGTGTGAGTGGCAATATTTTGCTAATGGCTGGGCAGAGAGAATCCTGTTAAAGTGAAAAATACTGTAAAAAGATCTGCTCCACCACGCTGAGGAGCTGTCTGTCCAGAGGGGACAGGAGTCAGCCCTCTTTGCCCTGAGCTGCCACACACCAAAGTGGTTGTGGGAGGGAACTCCAGTGAAATTCCTAGAGTTTCTCTAATGGGTTGGGGCATTGGTGTTTTCTTGCAGGCAACATATAAATGGGAAAGAAGTGTTCAGAAGTGAAATGAAATCAAAGTTTTACCACAGATGCCTGTTAAAGATTTTTATGAGCCCTTAGGCTCTTGGCCAACCAGCCTGATTGTAGAATTAAAGTCACTTCACCACTGTGAAACGAGTCAGAGAGGAAAACAACAAACCAAAAACACAACCCAGCTGATTTCACAGATTTGCCTAATTTTACTCTTCAAGTATTTATCTTTTTAAAATGATCTCTTGCTTTTTAGCAAAAGAAAAATCCAACCAGACAAAAACAAACTAAGAAACCAAAACCCCAAAAAGAACAAAAGACAAAAATATTAAGAAGGAAAACATTCTGCATGGGTTCCAAACTCTATTTTGTGAAAAATTATAAAGTCTGTAACGTATATAACAATCAGGCAGCAGTAATCCCACCTGAGACCCAGGACAGACTGCACAGGTAGCAGAGTGCAGACCCCACGCCACCCTCTCAGCAAGAAATGCCAGTGAAGGAGTCTGTTGTGGCTACAACACTGACAATCGAAAAAGCAAGCCAATAAATAATTTTTAAAAGTAGGAAGTGCAGTTTAGCTGCCATTGGGCCAAGGACAATAAATCCTCTGGAGGATAAAGTCCAGGCACCAGCAGACACCTGCACCATTGTCTCCTACAACCCTCGAGAGCCCAAGGTATCACCTGTGAGGATGTAGAAAAGAAAAATCACAGAATGGTTTGGAAGGGACCTTAAAGATCATCCAGGCCCAAGCCCCTTGCAACAGGCAGGGAGTCCTTCCACCAGACCAGGTTGTTCAAAGCCCCATCCAGCCTGGCCTTGAACACTTCCATGGATGGGCCATACACAACTTTTTGGGCAGCCTACTCCAGTGCCTCACCACCCTCACAGTACAGAATTTCTTGCCCATATCTAATCCAACCCTGCCCTCTGTCAGTTCACTTGTGCTATCACTCCATACCCCTGTAAAAAATCCCTCTCCAGCTCTCTTGTAGCTCCTTTAGGTACTGGAAGGTGCTCTAAGGTCTGTCTGGAGCTGTCTCTTCTCCAGGCTGAACAATCCCAAGTCTCTCAACCTGTGTTCTTAGGCCAGCACAAAATAACTATAGGCCAAAGCAGAAACTTTGCAGTTGGTTTTAAAGGCTACATTTTCCTAGTTGCAATATTTAAATATTTTACCTAACCTTCCACTTACAGATTGGTCCTGGGTGAAAGTATTCTATGTTGCCTTCTAATTACAGAAATATCCATAGGAATTAAAAGACCAGTGTCCTTGCTAACTCATTGAATGATTTTACTTAATTGATTACTAAATTGCAATCCAGGAATAATTTAATTTTTTTATTTGGCTTTGCCTTTATAGCTGTCCTGTTTCATACTAAGCAGCTGTAATTGAAAGTGGCTGAATTTTGGTAAAATACTCCCAGTTTACCCCTGTTAAATGCAGGGGAGCTCTGAGGACAGGGATGCTTTACCAGCCTCTCAGGCTGTATGTGCTGGTCATCAGTGCCTGTTTGGTGCTGGGTCTCACCTTGGGACCCAGAGCTCTGTTACTCCCACTCCTCTTTCCAGAGCACTGCTAAAGAGGAGAGATGGAAACTGGCCCAGCCTTGTGATGGAGAGGGTTTTCTTCTCTGGTCTCAGCTCTCACTTGACTCAGCGGGGCAAATTTCCAAAGCTGCAACATGATCAACCAAGGCATGGAGCTGGCTGTTGGGCTGGTGTCACACGTTCAACCCTTTAACTCCATCCTCCAGTCTTAGCACACCAGCTGGGTGCCAAGCATTCAGCCAAGTGTTACTCATCATGTTTTGGAAGCTCCAGGACCACAGGGAGAGTTTGCATTTCACTGGCTTTCCTCTGCCAGGAGAAGGCATGAGCCCCGTGTGGAGGAATGCTCTTTTCACAGGTCACCCAACGGGCAGGTCGGTAAACAGGCATTCCCTCACAAGAGCTACAGATAATTTTGCTATTACATGTACAGAAAAGCCCAACCAAACAAATGAAAAACACACAGAAAGCCTCAAAAGGGAGAAGAAAATTGAAAATAATAATTTAAAAAAAAGATGTGCACATACTCTGGAGAGATACACAAATGTTTGATAGTGGGACTAGCCAAGAAGTTGACTACAAAAAATTAAAGATCCACAATTTGGAGGACACCTGAAGCAACACAGAACTAGAGTGGCTCTGGACCCCTCTGAACTTGTTCCATCTAAGAAGAAAAAATGCCCTTGAATTTTCAAAGATAAAATTTTCATTTTCAAAATGCTCAGTGTTTTGAATTGTAACATTGTTGATGTTGACTTCTAATTGCCACTAAGAACTGAATTTTAAGAAAGGGAAAAAATGACTAATTCTTGGTTTACAGAGGTAACACACATCCCGGTGCACAGGTACCTCTAATCCCCAAAACTGGGGATATTTTCAATTTCAACCCTCCATCCCCATGAGAACAAACCTGGAAATGGGGTAGTTGAAGCACAGTGCATATTCATGAAACTGATAAGCAGAAAACTATGCATTACCAGCCCTTATCCAAAGCCTAGCAGTCTGTGCTATCCTCATCTGTGGCAATCAACCATCTTCAAGGAATTTAACTATTTAACTCTGTCTTAGAGTTAAAGGAAAATAAGCAAAAAGTCCCAAACACGCAGATGATTTAGGACAGTAATAAGTCTTAGAAAGACAACAGTGAATCATTCACCATAAGAGGAATGGCTACTATATTTTTTAAAAACCTCTCACCATATAATATTTTCAATTTCATTTTAGCAGGATTCTTTGAAGTGTTGAGGTAATTTGACTCCCCATTAGCTGTCTCTTAAGCTTTTAATCGAATTCTAACCATAAAATATAATTATATGCTGTATGAATTCCATCGGACCAATTTCAAAGTGTCAGAAATAACCTTAGCATGACTTAAATAGCACCAACCTGAACCTTTGCAGGCAGTGCCACTGGCTTTCAGCTGTGTTCAGAATAGTTCAGAAGCAGCATCCCTTAATGTATTTTTTATTGCCATGGAAGGAAGTCATGGTAATGGTGATTTTGAACTGAGGACATTTTTCTGCATTACCTTCTTATTCTAGCCAGAGTTAGGGACTCAATTTGAAATATATTCTTTAAAAAAAAAAAGTTCTGACTAAAAAAAAGCCTTAAAAAGAACAATTTATCACACTGGTATTGTTAGATGGGCTATTTCTTATCAGAAAGCAATCACCTCTAGTTTAGATTTATCTCTGACACAAAAGAAAATATATTGTTGAGTTTCACATTACCATATGTGGGAATTCAGGGGCAGTTTCCCACATGAGGGCATGTACAGTGCTAGTGTCACTGCTGTCCAGACCCCGACAAAATTCCATTAACAATTTCCACCCTTGGGTTTAAGTTCCTAATTCATTTATTATTGCTGTGTGGTGAGGACGTGTTAGCTGCTGCTTGAGGCTAGAAAATGAAGGATAAAGTCAGTTATAAGGTCATCTAAGAGACCTCTGGAATTAAATCTTCTCTAGATTTCTTCTCTAGAGACCCAAGCCAACAGCTGTAAGTGCAAGACTGCCAATAACAGCCCACATTTCAAGCTGCTATTCAGTGGTGAACCTCTCCAGTGGGGCAGAAGAGCTACCCAGATGTCACCACAGTTAAACCATAAAACCACGTTGCTTCCTATTATGCATTCACTGACTAGAAGGGGATGTGCAAACAAGTTTGGTGTGAGTTCTACAGCACTTCATTCTAACAAACTGAAAATGGAGTTGTATTTCTGTCTCTACAAGGCTTTTTAAGGATAAAGTGTTTAATTAAGAAATGATACCTAAAATATTTTTACTTTTAACTTAATAACTAAGTACCTCTGGCTTGTAATGTGGACTTTTTAACCTGATTATATAATGCTACTTAAACCCATGAAGAAGAAGGCAAAGAAGAAGGGTTATCTTCTGCCTTAAAACATCTATCTTGTTTTATATGTATTAATATATCCTAAAACTTTAAACTCTTAAGTTTTCTACTATGTGATATTATACACTTCTATTCAAACTACACACTTATAATCTTAGTTCTACCATTTAATTTTGGAAGCTTTCCTATGGTTTTAGGTCAAGTGCAGCATTCTCTTGGGGGTCAGAGCCTGTCAGCACAGAAAGTCTAAAGTTCTCATCAGCCAGGGTTCCAATAGTTTGGGATCTGTTGAACAGCCTATTTTAAAGCTTCGGTGTATTCTGCAGCCTGTTCTTTTAAACTTAGTACAACTTAGACAAGACAACCTTGCTGCTAAAATAGATACTGAATCTTTCCTTGTGTATGTGTGTAGCTCACTCATCTCCCAACTGCAAAGTCAAGGTTGGTGTCTAGGCAAGCACATATGCACATATATGTATACACATCACCCTACACATACTTATTTTCTGTAAGCATCTGGTTTTTAAGCACCTAAATGTGACTACTTTAAAAAAAAACAAAAAAACAAACGTGGCTCAGAACAGAAGCACCTTTGTGACATTACAACGTGGTGAAGAGAAGCTCCACTTACGGGCCTTGGCAAGCTGTACTGGTACATTTCTGGCCTGTAGGTGGGCACCCACTGCACGCCCACCCGCGGCCGGGTCATGGTGCCGGGGGCGCTGGTCACCACCTCGGAGTAGGGCAGGTGTGGGGCCGAGCCGTAGGCGTCGTGCCGGGGCTGGCCCCCGTGGCCAGCAGAGGCCAGGCTGAAGGCCTCCTCCAGCAGCATGTGCATCTGCTGCCGCACCTCGTCGATGGACGGCTGCGAGCTCAGCGTCGATGTCTCCGAGTGGCCCTTGGCCTGCCGGGCCCTGCTGTAATTGCGCGGCTCGTTGACGCGGTCAACGTTGGTTTCTTCTATGATTTCAGGCTCGGTCTGGTGGGGGGAATGAAAGTGCATGTCAAAGGCTTTACAAGATAGCGTTTGATGGCATTTACAAGGTAGCATTTTGTGGGAATCCATAAAATCAGAGGGTTTTGGGAAAGCTGCAAAAGGCAGCCCTAGGAGACAGCAGAACTGTGATTAGAGCTAAGCAGTGGCCATAAGATTGGTCAACAGAAAAATTATGTAAGGAGTAGAAAAGTAAGGACAAATGGAACAATGGTCTGTGCATTAATTAATGCTTGGCTAGAATAACTCCCTAAGCTGCAGAAAAGCATATCTAGCGAGATATTAGGAAGTTCTAAGCTTAATAATGGAGCTGTGTGCATTGTGTTTTAAGGCTTACAAGCAGGTATTTTATTTGAAACAAGCAAGCATTGTTTTAACCAAAGGTATGTGTGCTTACAGAGGTTGGATAGAACTACCGTCAAAATGCTTTTGCTTTGTGTGATTAGTCAAAAAACTTCTAAAGTTGTAGCATTAAGTTCTTTGTCTTCTGCCTGGGATGTGAGCTGCTGGCATCTTCCCATTGTCATAAGCATGTAATGAGGCTGATGCTGAAAATAAAACAGCTCAAGACACGTTCCTAGCAGTCCCGTCCCATTCCTGATTTGTACACAGACCTGGCCGGCGATGGCGTTTGTGCCACTTCAACATTCTCAAACACAGTTCTAACACACACAAATTGGGAATTGTAACAATGCAGATGTGTGGGAAAAGGAAAAATAGAAACTTCCACAGACACAGGAGGGTTTAGGAGAGTTTGATGTGCAGCCTTGGGAGAATCTTGGATTGATGTAAAAATGAAATACACAGACAGTAAGCAGAAAATCATAAACTTTTGTTTCTATAGTTATAAATAAGAATATTCCTTAAGTAAGTAAAAAACTTTATCAATAAGATGGTGAAGGGTTTATAATGCAGGGTGTAATTGTATAGAGTAAGCTAAGAGTTTAGATGTTATAATAGAAGGGTATGTGTGTGCATGTAACAGTAGCCCATTGGACAAAAGTATCTGCATTGCAGTAGAAGTATGTAAAGGTGATAGGTTAGAAAAGCAAAACAAACTTTGTGGCAACTGTCCGTTGGAATAAAAAGTTATATATTGTCTTGTAACAAAAAACTTGCAACTACTTTGTGCTATGGCCAACTGCTCGCTCTCATAAATCTCATGGCCTCTGAGACTGATGTTTATCTGAGCAAGAAATCATTTTTGGCCTTACAGTGGTCCCATCCCTTTAATTAAAGTGGTGATAATAATATAGACACACAACAAATATTGGAAAGAAATCATATGATGCAGGGGAGTATAATAGCCCTTTATATTCTACATTGTTCGCTGGGAAAAGCAGCAGGGACACTCAGCAGCAGATTAAACTGTCAATGGCTCACTTAAAAACAATTAGAATTAATGTTCGAATTCTTGTCTTAGTTGGGGCATCAATGGCAGTGAAACTGTGCCAGGAAGAGTACGGTTCTCTAAATAGTGTCATCACTGTGAAGAACCCCTTACAAGGGACAGATTATTACAGCTAGAGAAACTGAAATTCCTTTGTTCTGGCTCTCACTTTAAGACTTCTGAAGAACTAAAGTTTAGGAGCTTTTCTGAACTTCCACAATGACACCACAAATTCAGCTCTGCCCCTTGCAGAGAACACCATGGCCCAGCTCAGGGGTCTTACCCAGCCCCCAAACAGGAGTTACAGGCATTTACGCAAAGCTAACCTGGGAACAGGGAGGGAATGGAGCACATCCTCCAACGAGCAGACCATGCTTGGGCAGCTTAGCTTGAAGGGTTACTCCTAGGGTGATTCCTTCTGTACAGATAAGTACAAACAGAAGTCATCTCCCTGATTTTGGTTTTTTTTTTGGCTGTAACTCCGTGACAGAAAACAATCATCACATTGCAAGAAGTTGAAAGTGGAATACCACACTTCATCTGTATTTTGTAAGATCAGTTTTACAGCCCAAAGTTTTAAAAACATATGTTTTAAACCAGCAACTGATTCCTTACAATTCTTTAAATACTTGTAAAATGCATTGCCGGTGAAGGATAACTGGGATGAGCAATAGGATATGTGCCTCCTTCTATATATAGCATGTGCTTAGAAACTCTGCTGATGTTTAAAATAGCCATAAATAAAAGAATACAACAGGATGTTCTTGTTAAAAATTCCAGCACTATCCTGATCATTTCAGTGCTCTGTAGCTCCTAGTGCTACTCTATATTTTTTCCCCAATAATAGCGTTTTTCTACACCTGAATAGATAAGTGACTGTGCCCCCAAGGTTTTGTAAGCTGTAGGACAATCATAAAATAGATTTATTCCTTTTCAGAGGGAAATACCAAACTGCTGTTCTTTTTCTGTTAGCAGCCACTCATAAAAGAGTTACACTGGTAGTGAAAACTGATAATAAATCTAAGTAAAATACTAATTTGCTTTCTCTGTTTTAAGCATAGCTATACTTTGTATTGAATGAAAGCATGGCAGTGAAAAAGAAAGAAAAATTAAGATAAAAATTAAACATTTTCCAATTACAATTTAACCATAATTTACATAGTCATGGTTACAAGGTATATTATCTAAATTCAAAACCACAGACTCAAATTCAGGCTTCCCAAGTGGTACACACATCAGACTGGGGGAAGGGGAATGCAACTGCACCAAATGATCATAAATGGAAAAACTTTGTGGGAAATCTTCAACTCAAAACTATTCCTTAAGTTCATTCCTTCATTTTGATTCCATTGGTGTTTGTGTTGCTCCAATAAATACAGATCAGACACGTTTTAGAAAGCTGACTATAAAATGTAATGGTAGTTTGTGTAAGTGCAGCCAAAGAGCCTCTGAAATCATAATGTCCTGACTGGATGATTAATAACCATGGTTCTTCTATTTGCTCGTGCCTGCAAAAATGTGAGTGGAATCCCACACAGACCTATTAGTACCCAATGCTGAAATAAATCAGGTTTTCTACTACAACTCACTAGCCATTAGACCCCCACAGAATGTTTAAAATGTATCACGTGTATACAAGATTCTCATTAGCAGCCAACCTTAAAGCAGCTTTGATTTATCAATATAAAAGCTGACATGAAGATTTTGGAGAAAAATAATAATAATAATTTTTTTCCTTATATTTTAAAATCTATTTCAATTAATCCTATCACTTTCTGAGTGTTGTTTGTTATTTTGTTATTTGTTATCCTATCAATTGAAACATGTAGTTATCAAAAGTAGAGGCCACAATTACATAAAATCATGCACAGTTATTGTATAATCGAAGGAACTAGAGGTACATGAAGAAAGCAAACAAAACCCTGCAGTGAGAGACAGACTTTCTATACCTCTTGAATAATTCTGCTGCTTCAACTTTATCAGTAAAATTCTTTATGTGAACATTAATCTATAAACTTTGGGATGCATTGCATTAATTTAGCTATATCAATGAAATTATGTCCGTGAATTCTTTTGCATACTGATCTCTCAGACATGTATAATAAGGTAATTTTCTTCCTTGTATAGCAAAAACAGCCTAAATATTTTCTGCTCTGGTATAAATCTCTTCAGAGCAGCCTAGAGGTTCTAGAATCTTTCATTACAGGATTTACTCTACACAGTTGTTCATGAACTTGTTGAAAATAATAAACATGCTAATAAAGTCTCCTGAATATAATACCTAGTTGAAGGTGATGATAGTAAAACCTGCTGGGGTTCTTTAAAACGGAAAGCTAGCTACTGTTCAATAATAATTCATTTATAAAAGACACTATAAAGGCAAATAATATACTGAGAACATCAAACAGTAAAATGTACACTCCAAAGTAATATTAAAAGCTACATATTCCATATGGACAAATGTAAAATATTGTATCTTTATCCTCATATCTTTACCAGTAGCTCTGAGAAACAGAACCACGATTCAGAGAAATATCACAGAAATTAATTATAGAGAATGAAGTAATTTTAGAAAATGATGAATGAAAGTATTTTAGAAAATCATTTAGAAATTTGTTATTGAAAGGAAACCTTGTGGTTTCATGACTGCACATGAGTGAGGAATTCTTAAGGAGTTTTCTTAAAGAATCTGGGAGATCTCAATCTCTTTTCTTTAAAAATAAAATCATTATTGTTGTTGTGCAGAAAAACCTCAACACACAACCTGGGTGTACTGGCAACAGCTCAAATTCCCCCCACAGTTTTTTATGCTGTAAAAAAAGTCCCCCAATGTGAAGGCAATATAAACTATTTCATTCATAAATTGAATTATTTGGCACTGCTTAAAAAATGCAGATTTCACTATTCTTTGGCAGGACTTGCTGCTAAATAACATGCTGTGAGGAAGAGTTTAGCAGCAGCCTGAGAAGGCTGGAACATTTAATATGACAAATCGGATGTCAAAAATGGGTACCAGGTGTTGCTGTATGAAAGAGAAAGGGCACAAGAGTCAGCACTCAAAGCAGCCCTTTCCCACCCATTTTCAGAGGTCAGATTTCCAGAGGTGTTTAGCTGGTGAGATCCATGAATTCCATGGATGCAGCCACCAGTGGGTATCCTGGGAGACAGAGCCTGTCAGACACAGCTCCGAGGAGCCTCAAACAGGAGTGGGGGACCAGCCCACGCTGCAGGCTCAGGCTTGGTAGCTGAATTTCAATATCCTGTCCCATTTCCCAGCAGCATTTCTGTGCTTTCAGATGGGAAATGCATTCAGAGCTGGGAGAGGTGCACTGCAGTGAATCTGCAGTGCATCGGGCAGAGGGATTTTATGTAACTTATCAGTGAAGCATTGTGCCAGGGACAGGTCGCCCAACTGCAGTGCCAAAGGCAAGGCAAAAGCAATTTTTTCTATGATGTGCACACATCTCAGAGCTTATAATTACTCTGAGGACACTTCAGAATCTGCATAAACTCATTAATCTACTTCCAAGGTTTTAAACAAATTTTCTTTAAAATATGGTTTATATATAGCATACACAATATATTGAAATATTTTTAAAAGCTGCTGCGGTGCCTGCTCCCAGAATGTTTTCAACACTGATTTCCAGGGAAATATCCCCTGTGAAAAACTAGCTTTTATTAGCATAGTTTTGGCATCCTAATTCCTCAGAAAGCAGTGTACCAGTCAGCCCACTCACACAGCCCCACGGCTCCTGCAGTCTGATGGGAAGTGTCCAAATGCAGGGAATCATTTCAGAAATCTGACAACTACAACCTGCCCTGAAGAATTTTGTAAAAGGTTTAAACTTTCCTGAACACATCCCCCCAACTTTGGTGCTTTCTTTCTCCTTGCTAAAATCACATTTGTGGCAGAGAGAGGGTTGATAATGAAATCCCACACCCCACAAAAAATGTTTTTCACCTACAATATTTAGAGGATGCGCAACCACAGGTGAACTTCCTTGTTTTCCAGAATGGTTTAGACCCTTGCTAGGGACTGATCTTCAGGGCTGGCTGAGCTACAGTAGTTTGTACACATGACAAAGGACTGAAAAACCCAACATTTCCCCAGCTATTTTTAATCCTCCTTCTGGGTTCACACAGCATCAATTTGCACCCAGCGTTTGTTCAGACTGCACAAGACAACTCCTCTGCCTTGTGCTGGCTTGGACCACAAAGCAGCATCACCTCTGGCTGGGTTTGACATTTACCTACCCAAAACTCTCCCAGCTCTGATGGGAGCAAGAGGACAATACCTGTCCCTAGTGCATTTCCATAAAACACTGACATTGGGACTTAGGGGAAAATCCCAGAAGTTGGCTGTTCATTCTTTTGAATCAAGAGAGCAGCTCCAGGCTGTTCTTCAGAACAAAAAGAGGATTTTAATTGCAATGAAGAAAGCTCACTGTCAAGTAGCCACAACTTAGAAGAATGACCTAAATTCAAGATTTAATACTTTGGCAAATAATGGGGTTAGGGCAAACGTTTTGTTTGCATTTCAGTCTGTAAGATGATGTAGAGTGATAAAGTACATGAAAGACTCAGTGCTTTTCTCAGGATGCTGAGTGCACATAAACTCCTGCAACACTAAATATCTCACGGCAATCTGTCTTGTGGCTTATCAAGTGTTCCCTGAAGCAAGTCAAGGCTTTGCTGAGCAGATTTCCCTGCCTATACCAAATAAACTTACATCATATCCACTGTTCCGGATGCCACGCCTCGGCCTTTCTCGAGTCACCAGCAGATCCATCTCAGTTTCCCCTGGGCTGGGACTGTTCAGGGACTGCCTGCTTCTGTACACTGAGTTCTTCAGTGGCTGCCTAGAAAACACAAAATGGGGAAAAAAAAAAAAAAAAAAAAAAGAAAAAGAAAAATATGTAAATTAAATGGTAATGGTAAAATGAAAAAAAAATAATGACAGGCAGTAGTTGTCAATACTCACCTTTTATTTAAAATTATGATTTCATAAAAATGCCACTTTGTTACAGGACATTCTTTCTACATACATGAACTACTAGAAATCAGTGACCTTATTAAGAGATGATTAATTGTTTTTTACAGTTTAAGGAAAATAAAAGTTACGTAAAAGACATGGACATTGTATGTGGGAACTTGTCAGATGAAATATGTCCCAAGAAGGTATCAGCACCCTTTTAACTTCAGCTGATATAATTCAAACTCATTTAAAAAAACATATTAAAAAATACCAGGCTCTCCCACACACACAGATGGGGAGCAGAGATTTTGGTTGCTGATCCTGAGCGCTGAGAGAGAAGCAGGAAAACGCTCCAGTGAAACAAATCCCTAGCACAGGGAACGGGAAGAGACACAGCAGTGGGAGGAAAGTGCTTGCAAGATGCTGGTTTTAAATAGCCAGTTTGGTGACTGGCCACAGCTTTCTCAGAGAGCTGTGCTTCCTGGGATTCAGCTGCTTCACTGGGACAAAGTGCTGCTCATCCCTGGGACTGAGCTTCCTCTGCTGGGTGCTCCAAACCAAGGGGAAGCAAATACAATAGAAAGGCAGAATAAAACTGAATATCCAAAACACCCACTAACCTCTTCAGCAAAATCATTTCTGCCCTTGTTGCTGGTTATACAAAAACAAATGCAGCATCCCTCTGTGAAATACAGAGCGTATCTGTACATATCTGCAGGAGGGTTTGCCAAATGATAGCAGAGGAACTTTATGCTTCATCTGTTAAGAAGGCTACTTCTACACCAGCAGAGTTTATGAGTTGTTCTCATACTGTATCAAGCCATTACTCATTTGTTGCACACTCCAGAGGAGTCCTGAAGTAGATCAGCAACACATGAAAAAATGGCATGCCAGCTTCATTTATTAACACAGTAATTACACTGCTAGAGCCTGATACAAAGTTATCTTTGCCTAGCCCTGCTATTTTTCTGCCTCATGCAATTACTCCCTTCAGAATATTAAAATTAGATCAGGCCATTTAAGGTGTCTCTGTGCTGCTTATTTCACACAGAGGACCTGCCAATGCTCATAGTGAAGTAAGACAAGTTGCACTATTATGTCTGAAATCACACTTTCAAGTCACTCCATGGTTTAACATCTCAAGAACCATCAATGAAATGAACAGACAAGACAGGCCAAATTAATTCACTGATAAATAATTCTTCAGTTATTCCAGATCTTGTTAACAGCACTTTTTGCCTTGACAGATTAGAGCAGCAGAAACTGGTTTGCAGAAATCCAGAAAGTAGGACATTTACATGATCAGACAGGATAAAAGGTAGGACAAAAAAAACCAATTTCACGCTTCTGATTAAATAAATTACTCAGGCATGTACTCAGTTTTAAGGCAACGTTCCAAAACTCCTGTGTGACCTTTGATCACAGATCACCATGCTCTGTTTGAAAGTCCCAAATGCACTGCCAAAGCAGAAGGCAAGCAGAGCTTTTGGAATAAGTTTCCCCTACAAAAGAATATTGAGTAAATTCTTTCTTCCTATATAGCCTTTCTCTGACTGTACCATTGATATTAACAGAAAACAGGGTTATGCACAGGGTAATTAGATCTGACAATCTCCATCTTCTTACATCAAAGGTCTCCAAAAGTTCATATGTTTTTACAATAGGTCCGTAAATACTTAGTTGAGGCAATTGTGATATATTTTCTAAGGGATTCAAACATACAGCTCTGTACAACATGCAGATTCTTGACCTGATTACAAACTATTAAAGAAAATCCAAGAATAGTGCATATCATCAGTAGGCTCTTAAAATTACCTTGAGTTTGCCAATTACCTCATTTAAGAGAGTTTTACTAATGAGAAAGGAGGTATGAACAGGAACAACTGGCATTCAAATGGGTTAGGAAGTGCCTCCTGGGAACACAGCTGGAATGTTTTAAAACATGAGGATTATGGTACTGATGACTGAAAGGTACCAAGAGCACAAAGCTCTTTGTTCTGGAAAAAAATCAAATCATTTACAAGCAGTGCTTTGTAAATCACTTTTAAATACAATTTAAAACTAATTCAAAATGTAAAGGTAACCTTAAGTAATCAACTGCATCCCTATTTTCTGATATGTTTTGGAAGTGTTGTATCAATGTGACTTAAGTCAGAGGAATATATATAAAACAGAAAAGAATAGAATAGACCTCTTCCCTAGAAACTTTGAAATCTTTGACTTAGTTTTTTAGTGATAGTTATTAAAACTGCAATTTTTTCAGGGTTTAATTGCTGGAACAATGATTCAAAACAGAAAAATATATAAATCTTTTTTTTTAATTATATGCTTATCCATATTGCTTTTAAAGCAATTTTATTTCATTACAGAAATGCAATTGCATTGATTCATTTATCCTTAACCAAACCCCACATTACCTTGTAGGATTTTTTAAGGTTTTCCTCCAGCAGTGTAACATTTTAGCCATCTTATTTTTGTTAGAAAAATAAGGACAATAATTGCCATGTGTGTTGCAGCATATCAAATTCAGTTCCAGGTCTTAGTGTGGAAATCTTAGCACAGAATTCAAAATTGGTTTGTTTGTAAACATCTGCAGCACCTGTAAAGTTCATTAAGTGTTCTGTGTCTTCACAGAAAGTGCATCAGAAGCGATTCTCTCTCCTCATGTGGGGATACAGATAATATATTTAACAAGTCCAGCAGCCAGCCTTTCATGGTGCAGCTGGAATCACTGGAATCATTCCTCTACAGGAGTTCACCTGCCTCCCAGCAGTTTCTGTCATGCCAGGGCTCACTGGCTCAAATAGACTGTGACAAATTCACACAACACACAGCAAAAAATGGCACATGAACAAACATCGGTGTATCTAACAAAAAGCACGTGGCTGTGTTAAAGCTTCAGTTTCATGTTTTCAACACTTCCTGTGAGCCATGTGACACATAATGAGCATCCAAATTAATGCCTCAACCAGTCACAGCCACACCAATGTGCTGAGGGAACTTTCCAGCTGCCTGGACTAAATGCATTCCTCAGCATGGGTTACCAGTGCTCTGTCTGTACCTCCTGGACAGAGTGTGCAGAGCAGGGCTCCCATGCAAGGACAGGCTCCGTTTCTTACCTTCTCAGTGCACAATAAATTGGAAAACTGCACAAGGCAATGGTGCCCCAGGACATCCAGTAAGAACATAACATACAGCTGAGTCAGTCTCTTCTCCTCACTCACCTCTGCTGCCCTGGCAAACAGCTCTTCCAGGGCAGTATCCCTTGGCCACTGAACTCTATACCTACAGAAACACATATGATCTCAGCTTTTGCCCATATTCCGAGCCAACAGTGCTTTTGTTATTCCCATTACAGGCTTTTCCATGCCTGTGCCCCGAGGGTAATTGCTGCAGTCGCACTGTGTGCAATGCCTGTGTCACCAGCAACGCTTTGATTGCAGTCCATTCACACTCACAGGAAAATTCTGGTCTGAGCTTTCCAGGAGATGGGATGCAAGATTGTACCTCCAGGTGTGAGAGCCATTTCCAGGAGAAAGATGCTTCAGTATCCCTTTTTCTCTCATGGATCAACTGATGTTAGTCCCTGATTACAGTAAGAACCAGAGCCCTCCTGTGCAAGATGTAGTGGCAAACACACTCTTTTATCATCCCTCACACCTTCAGAACTTCCAAGGAAGAGGAATCTGCACACTGTGCCGCTCCTGGGGTAGGACTGGTGTGATCTCCTCTTTCCAATGTGCCAGTTTGTGTTCCAGAGAGCACCAGCAACAGAGCACCCACCCACGGCAGCGGCTCAGGCACAGTCAGCACCTGCACTCCCCCCTTATTTCTAAAATGGGGTTTTGAATGCTACTGCTGTGCCATCCTCAAGAGACAGTGAAGTGTTAATCAAACATTGGTAATGTTATACAACATGCCAGCTTCACGTGACAGATGAGCAAATTATGAGTTTCTCTGTTAAAGGCAAAGGGAGATCACCAAAAACAGGCATGCACAACATCTTACAGATACTATCTCTGCAGGACCTACAGGGACAATGCACTCATTCTGCTATCTCATGCCCTCTGCAATAGTTACATTCAGATTAAAATAATAACAAAACAGTAATACCACTATATTTTGAAAAAGAGCCAATTCAGATGCTAACTTCCTGCCTAAAGTCTGCTCTGAGTATCACCAATAACATTACTACCGCTTTTTCTGTTTACCTTTGAGAATTACTCACAAGAACTTGCAACAGTCCCTTCCCTTATTGTTTTTCTTTCATTTGTTTATCACACTGCAGTTTTACCAGAGAACATGTTTTCCACGGGCTGTATGAATTTTCTTCATAAAGCAGAGGGACCAGTGACCATACAACAAACACCTGGCTCATTAAAATGGCCCCTCTGATCCCAGGACATCAACTCTCCTGCCAGTTGAAGAACTGCAAATAAAATGTCTCACCTGTTCTTCGGCTCAGCAAATGGAGACGAGACATCTGCATCTGGATCCAAAATGTGGTCAAGTTCTTTCTGGTTTTTCTCATACATCCTTTTCCTGTCTGTCAGCGCCTTGCTATTATCAACCTGTGGGAAATCATAGTACCCTTTCCTCTTGGCTTTCAGGCGCAGCTTGTTGCGGTAGTGCTCTATATCAGACTTCTGCTTCAAAGCCTTGTTCACCTAAAAGGCAAGAAGATGTTTCAGGGCTGCTGGTGGGCTGGCTGCCTCCAAAGGATCTCGTCAGCGCGTGTTTGATGCGCCGCGTGTGTCATCCCTCTGTAGCACACCGTGCCATCTGCAAGCAGCGAGGAACTGCAAGTGAACAGAGTCACTGCATTTTTATGGCTTGGCAGATGGTTAAATAATTTTAGCCTAAAAAACTGTGTACCATTACAACAGTGACTCAGAGACACCCACTGAGGAAAAACAAGAGTAGTGTCAGCCAACTGCCGTGACCCAGCGCTGCGCGTGCTTCGGGGCACAGCTTGCCCATGAAAACTCTGCTGGGGTACAGAGACATCCCCCCTGACTACACAAAACCTGAAACAAGTCACCACTGATGGCTGGGGAAGAACTCCAGTGAAGTGTCATCAAATGTTTATTTTGTTTATACACTTTCTAACAGGCTCCTGTCAGAGAGGAACCTTAAAAAAAGGAGTGCTTGGTCCATCCTGGTAGAGCTTAGTCCCGTGGTTTCTCCTAAGTACAGAAAAAAACTTCCCTCCTGCTTCAAACTGCAAGTTACTCAGAAACCAGGGATTTACCTGAGCTTTGAGCTTTCAGAGTCAAATTCTACAGTCTCCTCAAACTACAGGGAGTGTGTGTGTACAGGTGCACACAGCACCAGCAGTGTCATCCTGCTGCCTTACAGAAAAGAGATGCTGACAGCTAAATAAGTCTTTCTCTGAGTTAGAAGCTACGTGGCACATCAGAACTTAAAATGCAAGTATGAAATGGAGCACAACAGGCTGCAATAATCTGGGCCCACATGGGACCTCTGTCTTTTACAGTGTCTCTGGCAGCAGCCCTCCCTGCTGCTTTTAAACTGTTTTTAGCTGTTTAAATGACTGTTGCAATGTGAGTTTGTAAACAAGGCACCTCTGTGGCTTGCTCCCATCATGTTCAACAACTTCTTAAAAGCTTCAGTCCTTTGTAAATTGACTGGTCTTGATTAAATCTACATCAAAACATGAGTATAAGTATTGCAGTCAAACCATGCTTTTTGGCCAGCATCTGGAGCAGACATTTGTGCCATCCCACTTTTTTCCTTCAAAACAATTGCGCACTCTGTGCACAGGCTGGAGTGCAGAGCCAGGCCATGGTGCCACTGCCCCCCTTCTCACTCTGACTGAGATACAGTGCTCAGTACAGAAAGATCAGCAGGGCACCCAGGTGATCTATGCATATTTTCATACCCAGCCACAGAATTCACACAGGAAAAGATCTTATTCTGATTTCTGCCTTCATAACTCACTTTTTTAAAGAGGAGAGAGGGACCCTGGAAGGGTAGGAATATAGAAAATCACCTCCTCCAAGGTCGCAGGCATTCACAGGTGCATTGTGAAAGAGCAGATCTTAAATTCTCAGGTGTCCGAGCCCACAGTGCTAATGGAACTTCATGTAGCGTAAAGGTTAGAAGCTCCTAGCAGCCCTCAACTCCAACAGCCTAAGATCCTTCCAGTTGTGGCTGTAGCCAAGGAAACACCTGGAGACACTTCTCAGGCAGTCCTTACCTCCCCATTGATGATGGCAGACTCCTGGCTCCTCTCTGAAGCAGCATGGACAGCAGGGAGGGCCACAGGTTTGATGGCGATGAGCTGCACCGAGCCCGAGGACGTGTCAAAGGGGTCCACGGCAGACTTGGCGACGTTATCAAAGAGAATCCCTCCTTCCTCTTCATCACTCACGGCCACTAGAGCACATCAAACTCGCTCAGCACAAAGACACAGACATTTCTGCTGCCTGCTCAAGGGGAAATTCGGCAAGCGCACACTTTGGATTAATGATGTGCTCAGTGCACTCGAGGTGCAGGCCTGGGAGACCTTTACACCAGGGAAAGACATCCCATTAGAGCACAGGAAACACTGTGCATTCAAAGGATTGTCTGTCCCTTCCCCAAAGAAAGTTCCAATCCATGCTAATAAGATGGAAAAAAGGAGAAGAACGACAGAGGAAATGGTATGAAAATGACAGTGAAAGTTAGTGAAAGATGTTTTCCTAGGTTTCACATGGAAACACACACACACACACAGGTGCCCACGTGCCAAGGCATCAATAGCTACACCTGATCAAACCCAAGAGTGCAGCTTTTTTCCTGTCTTGTGCTGCAAGAGCAAGGGCATACTCAAAATTTGCTAAATAAGTAGGTTTCTTTTTCAAAACTTATTAATGCTAAAAATGGCATTAATTGCAATAAAAGCATTTTCTGCTGTGTGTTAAAAATGCTTAAGAAACTGATGGTATCTAATCTTATGTTAATTTTTTGCTTTGTAAGCAGTACCTCAGGTCTCTGTGAAGTTGAACAGTTACAATTTCTTAAGAACCAGAAAAAGGTTTCTGTAAATCTTTAAAATTAAATGGCATGGCAAAGCATCTTTACTTTTAGATTTCTATATAAATTAATAACTCTCTCACATGCAATTGGGCCCTTTCTCCTCCAAATTTTCTTTGCAAACCTGCATCACTTTGTCAGCTGTTGAATCTGAAAAATCTTACCCACATTTTGAAATGAAAGAATGACACTAAAGCAAGAGCACCAATTCTACAAAGAGATCCTTGCAAACATTTTTGAATAATTATGCTATTAGAGGGAAGAATGCTTGCTCCATCTCCTAGCTGACAGGAGCAGAGATCCTCTGCTAAAGAACAAAGTGGTCTGCTCTAAATTTATTTCCTCTGAAAATAAACTCTGGTTTAATATTTAATCACTGCACGAATTACAATGGACTTGTATAAACTCAGCAGTTTAGACAGCCAATGATTTTGGTAAGAAAATATTTGACAGCAGTAAGATAAAATATGAACCCACTGAGTAAGCTCATTATCTCTGTCTGTGCTCAGTGTGACCGGAGTTGGCACCACTTGAGCTTTTGAGCAATTGATGGGTTAAATCACTGTGTCATTAAATGCTGTCCCTGCAGCACCACAGAACTGTCCAAACACCACTGAGGCTTCAGTGGCTCTTGAATGGCCCTGGCCCCCCTGGGGTTGCTCAAACACTCCAGATGTGTGCGCTCAGTGGGACCAGCAGCTCACAGGCCAGCTCAGTGACAGTGACCCACGCTGCCAGGGAGCACCAGGACACCACAGCAGCAGGACCAGGGAACAAGGGGATGCTCGCCTGGCACTGACCCCACATGAGCAGGAGCCATTCATGTTACAGTGAGTAAAAAGGTGAAGAAGGGATGCTCTTCCCTGGGGAGATTTTGAAACCCAGTAGCAACAGAGAGCTCAGCTACCTGCAGTTGCATGGGGTGTCCCCTCAGACCTCGTTTCAGGAACAGAAACCAAGAGTTTTTCTTAATGAAAGATAATTCTTCTGGGACTCATTAAAGGAAATAAAAATTAAGGGTGAAAAGAATCATAAACCACAGATGACAGCTAATTCTGATGGGGAGCACTAACACCACAAAGCACTCTCAGTATCAGCTCTCTCAAAGGCGAGCACAACTCCTGCACCTACTGCAGTGCTACCAGCATGGAAATGACACCCAAATGGTACTAGAAACCTGAATTTTAATCCACCTTGCCTTAGCATTTGTTCATCTATAGTGTAAAAGGAGTTTTTTTCCCCACTGCCACTTTTTCACTGATAGGTGATAAAGAAAGCCTGTGGTCTGCAGCCCCTGGCACACTGCTATAATCTGCATTGGCAGGGAACCATAGCAAGCACTGGGAAATTCATCCTTTGCTCCTATCCATCTCCTCCCCAGAGAATTTACAGCAACCATCTGTGACATGACTGAACCATAACAATCTCCAAACGTTGAAAAACAAACCAAAGGAAGTTCAGAGAAATGCTGGAGAAGTCCTGGAGTGTTTTTTTCTACTGTGTATCTCTGCCCTGGGCCAGTCCATCCATGGGTGAACAACTGGCCAGCATGGGAAACTTCAGGAAACTGCCCACATGTTCTTTATAGTCACCCGCAACAATCACCCTTGCTTATTATCGTTGGCAACATGGTTTAAAAGTGATGTTTTAAATTTCTGTTTCCAAACAGATGCATTCCAGCACTATTGTGGAGCTCTTCTACTGTTGCCTGCACTGTGTGAGCACAGAGTGAGACTCAGAAGCTCAGCAGCAGAAAAGGACAAAATCCAACTTGATCACTACTTAACAGCAATTTCCCACCTCTGAAATGTCTCATGCCAGATATCTCATGCCACATGATCCACTGAGATTGAATTACTCCTCCTAATCTTTCTGTGGCTGCAGCACATGATGAAGATCTATCCAGAGCAATCAGTGATGCAGGTCGAGTGCCAGGTGCAGTGAAGAGCAGGGTGGCACTGAGTCCCTGAGGAGCAGCAGCATCCCTGAAGCTCTGTCTCCACACCTCTGCAGCCATCAGAACACGAGGTCTGCCCCAGGGATGCTGTCCTCCCATTTCCAGGCAGCTCTGAGCTGTTCCAGCCAGCAATGCCAGCAGGTGGTGCTGCCCACTCGTGACCAGCTGGTTCCATGGAAAAGGGGCTCTGGGACTGCAGCGCTAAAAAACAATTAGGCAGGTGATGTATTCCGTTTTTATCTAGTTAATATTTTAAAGTTAAAAAAAAAGTGATACTTTTGTCAGCCAGATTTCAATGAGGCCACGGAAGATTCCTTGTCTCCTCTCTCTTTCCCTCTATCTTGTCTTTCCTCTCCTCTCTCACATCAAAATATGCTGGAATGAAGAAAAAAGGGACTGAAATATTTGCACATTTTAAAAAATAAATAAAATTAAGGATATTTAAATTGCCTGTATATCAGGTAACCTTCCAGCCAAACACCTGAAACAAAGATTTGTGCTGTCCTGCTCAGAAAGATCTTGGAAGTCCTCAGAAAAAGAATGACATCAATAGAGAAAAACACATAAAGCCAAAACCTGGGAAACACCTGCAAGAAGGTGGACATGCTCTGCCTTTTCTTATATCCCTCAATGAAGTATTTTTGAAGATTCATTTTAGATGAAGGGAAGGCAAACATTGCAACCATACCTACAGAATATACCTGCAGTCTGACAAAGAGCAAGCAGTGTCACCTATCTAAAAAAGTTCTTAGGAAAAAGCCCAGGAATCAGTATTTCAAACAGAAATCCTGACTCCTGAATATGATTTAATAATGGGGAACTAATTTTCATTTTAAAGAAAATCTCTATATAAAGGGAAAAAAATAGATTTTTTCTATATCATCCAAGTCATTCCATTGGTCAGATTACTATCTCCAGAAAGATACAAAGAGAAGCTTTAGGCATTACAAAAAACATCTGTTTCTGAAGGACTTTATAGGCCTATAAGTAAACTACAACTTTCCCAAAATTAGTATCTGAACCTATCCAGGACAGAAGTACCTGTCTGTAAGATATTGCAGTGTAACAGAGAACAGACTTGTGTGCACACACGCCCTTCCATGATACACCCAGCTCTGAGACACTGCAATGCTAAACCTCTCACAAACAGCACAAATACTGCATTTTCAGAAGCAGACAGCTTACAGACTAATGGGAGCACCTCGTGATTCCTCCTGGACAGTATTTCCTTGGGTGTAAAGTCTGCTAAATGCTTGGTGATGTGCCTGAAGTGCTGCAGTCCAGGCTTTGCCTGGGATCCTGAAACAAGAGCCAGCTGAGCAGGTCACTGGAGATCTCCAAAGCAGTATCTGCAGGTTTCCAATGAAACTGTGCACACAGGGTTGGTATTTGTCCCTCAGCTGCTTGCTTGGTTCCCTTTTTGTGAAGGTTTCCTGTCCTCCTACCAAGGAGCAAGGATCTCTTTCTGGTTATGTCTTCTTCTCCAACCACATTTGCCTCATCTTTCTAAATATCAAAGCCTTTCAAAACGAGACCACATATTTCAAAATGTTTCCGGTGAATCCACCAGCCCCTTTTCTTGCCTGACACTTCTTTAATAAGTAGGTATGTTCACTAATTAAAAGAAAATTATTTAACTGATAAGGATGATGAACACACAAAGACAGGGAAGACACGAGAGCCTACAACAGAAGCTTCTTTAAGGAAATGGTGCCCTTCCTTTCCTTCTTTAAGGAAATGGAGTTTTAAAAACATTTGCAAAAATAGTTTTCTGTTTGCACAATAAAACTGTGCATTTGTCTTGTTCAGTGCTGACATATTAGTGAAAAATTCCAGCCATCCAGACTGCCACTGGGTCTGATGGCATGAACATCTACAAGCTCTTTTCACTACTGCTTGGATGAAAACTCCTGTCAGACTCCATTAGTGACAGAGCCAAAGTCATCCAGAGGGAAAGGCGAACGTGAATGAAGAAATATTTAATTGCGTGACCACCTGCAGATCCCAGATCCCCTCAGAGGACTGCTGCAACAGGCAGCTTAGCAACACAGCATGCAGTATTTTCTTACCATGAAAACAGAAAAAAAAAAAAAAAAAAAAAAAAAAAAAAAAAAAAAAAAAAAAAAAAAAAAAATTAAAATGAGCAAGTCTGAAATAAAAAGTTCACAGTCACCAGCAGGATGCTAGCAGCGTCACAGTGCTCACACTATTTAAAGGAAATAAACAACAAAAACAAGGGCAGTGGGAGAAATGGAAACAGTAAGGGGAAGAATTAGCCTGTGTCACACAAGCTGAATTCTTGGGAGAAGAGGAAATCAATGTGTAAAGGTTCTGGGAGGTTCAACAGCAACCGGTGCCAATGCACAAGATTCCAGCTGAACAGGTGGATTTTGTTTATTCATTGGGATTTTTACCCCCCTCTGGTTAAAAGTAGTAAATTACTCCAAAAAGTCTAGGAGTTTGCTGTGAGGAGGCGAAGAGTCAGATGAAATTCCCAATTAACACCCTTTTGGGAGCAAATGAAAATAATGCTTCAGGATGAGGGAATGGAGGATGAAAAGAGTAGAGTCCTTTCTCTACACCACAAATTCTTCCCAGCACTCTGACTTCTTAGCCTTTCAAAGACACAGGCATCATGCAGAGGAATAATCTCACTCCAAATCTGCACAGCTGCTCCAATGCAGGGCTCCTTTCTGACTGGATCTTACCTCCAGAGATCTGTCCCAGTTGGCCATGACCCTCTGGAAGCAGCCCTTTCCATTCTGACTTGTACTTCACCAAGCACAAAAAGGCAGAAGAAGGGTGCTGGATGTTTGTTGGGATCCACCAGCTGCTCCAGCTAACTCTGTCTCCAAGCTGCCACCAGACAATGTTGCTGTTGCCATATTTCACTTTATTTTGAGTCACTATAGACAACTGCTCAGAAATTCAGAAAAACAGGCTCTGATGCTGAGCTGCCACATCAGACAGAGTGAAAACTAGTGGCCCATACTTCTGTAGAATAAAGGAAGCAATGTATCATAGCTTGGCTGAGTTATATCCAAAAATCCCTTTGATTTTAGGTATGCCAATAATAGAGACAAGTTTTTTCCCCTGCTACTTTGCTCCTGTAGACAGCTCTTGCCTGGACAAAGGAAATTACAGTGTTAGAGACTGGTATTTTAAAAAGGAGTGAGGCCCTTGACTGAATGACTTCTGAAAAGTTACATCTGTTTTCAAAGACATTGTCCAAATGATTGGAAAATGAGAAACTGGTCCAGCTGGGAAAGGTTTCTTACACAAAGAAGTTTGACTTTTGGGGAATGCTGCTTGTACATCTCCACCTGTGGTGGTGAGGTTTAAGTATAAAACTGAGCTCAACTACACAAGTTCTTAACTCAACTTCGCAAGTTCCTCAAAAGTTGGGGAGTCATATGCTTCATTAAGAATTGATAGCAAATCATAACTTTTGGTTTTCTCTAAAAAAAGAAACAAGCATTCACACTCTTCTAAAGATGTTAATGGGAAGGTTGCAAGATCAAGCACTTGAAGGTTGAAAAACAACCTACATCAATTTCATTGGCCTCATTTAGTGAGGAGCTGCTGAAAGGAAAGGTTGCACTGTGGGCTGCTTTAGCTCTCCAGGTCTGAGTGGGTTCAGCCATTTGCTTCTCCCTGAATGATGTTTGGCCTGATAAATGATGGGCAGAACTACTAATATCCTGTTCTTCTCTTCCACATTCTCTCACAAACCCATCTCAGAAACTGCCAGTACCTCTGTTGGGTGATTCATCCATATTACAGTCCTCTAACATACATAAGCACTTTTTTAAAAGAAATTTTTTTTAAATGCCTGAAGAAAATTAATGTAGAACTCATCAACTTTTAGAAAGAAAATTTTCAATTAATATAATAATTGTCATTCAAGAAAAAACATGCTGTTATCTTACAAAATCTTATCACTGTTTGATTCAAGTAGATTTTTTTTGTGTTTTCTGTAGAAATAATGCTCAGTTGAAGAGTTCTCCTGATCCTCCAAAGCATCAGGTCCTGAAGCCAAGCCTGTCAGTCCGTGCTGGTTTCACATTGTTCGCTCACAGCCCTGACACACTCCATGTGGAGTCAATTTTGATACCAGCCATATAGAATTTAACTACTGAGGTAACATCCAGTGCTGTCATTCCTCCCTGCAACTAAATGTCAGCAAGAAATAGAATCTAAAATTGGTCTGTAACTATGGCAACTAATGAGCCATTCTGACTTGGAGTCCCCATATCCAACATGTGACCATCAAGGGATTCATTCCAGTTTGAAGATGCTGCTTCTCAGAGAAGAAAAATCTGCTGCTGCTTTTGCCAACATTTGTGTGAGAGCCACCAGCCAGGCTGGGGAGCTGGAGCAGGCTCAGGCAAACAACTGGGAGAAAAGCATCTTCCTTCTGAAACTGGAAGGAAGAACAGACACCACCTTCTGTGAATGCTAAATACTCTGGTAAAGGTAAAACCCTGCAGAAAGCACAAACTGTCCAAGGTGACAATGGTGTTCATAATCACAGCACAGGGGAACCAAGGGCAGGCTCTGTGATGAGAAGTAATGGGTGCCTTGAGGCTTTGGATTTTAATTTCAATAGGCATTTGGGATCACACAGCTCCAAACTGAACTCCATTAATTCTGATAAGGGGAGGTCATTTCATCTGCCATGACCACGTCCTCCTTCTCAGAAGCTGTTCTGAAAGAGTTGTTTAAGGAAACTCTCCCAAACATACATTAAAAGATACGCCTACAGCTAAAAAGTTCCCTTCTCTTTACCAGGGAGCAAGGTATTGATTCCCTTTCATATCTCTGCCAGATGACCAGGTGACCCTTTCTAGTGCCATGGCAGTTGGGTGGAGAGAGTTCCACCAGAAGGAGCTGAACTCTCTAGCAGGAGGGCAGATGAAGTGTCTCATGCACAGGTCTCTCCTAATTTTTTTCTCCTAAATTGTAATGAAACTAAGATTTAAAATGAAGGGTCACTATTTCCTTCCATTACATTCAGAGGTTTATTTAGGTAGCACGTGTATGTTCTAGAAATGCACTACAGCCCAGATCAGAAAAAAGAGTGTTAAGTGCTAGTCAATTCTTTAAAAAAACCAAACAAATAAACAAAACTGAGTTCTTACCAATTTTCTTTGAAGATGTAAAACCTAACAAAACACAAAAGACCTTCACTAAAATATTTTGTCTACCCATGTAAACAGCACTTAGCACTGGTTTGAATATTGGCTTTCCTGGGTGGGTAAGAAAAAAGACATCATAAATTACAGCTTTTAACTTTGGAAAACACAAATGTTATTGTCTTGTAAAATGAGCTACATTTCACAGAGTGAGAAAATAATTAACCCCTTTGAAACTTAGAACCTGTTAGCCAGTTTTCTATTCATAAGGAAAACATAGCTATGGGAACAAAGCTATAACTCAGGAAAAATAAGGAAAGAGAAGAAAAGCAAGGAAGAAATGGGATTGGGCACTTCTCTCATCCATCATGGATCATCACTGATCCATCTCTAGTCTCAAGGCCACCACCATCAACTAAGGTCTTGTAAGAAACATCCAGTGTGACATCCCAGGTGCATCAGGAAAAGCTGTCAGTAAGTGTTAATGACAAACAGGTGTGCCAAGGATGTGAGGAAAGACAAAGCACCGGATGTTTCACACTTTCTCAAATTAATTTTTATCTAATTAATTCATCTTCATCATATCTGGGCCAGCTTAACAGCAGCAGCAGAGAAAATTAATATCTTAGGGAACTACAAAACAAAGAAAGCTGTAAACCCTCTTTATTAGTTTACTGGTATTCCAAGAAAAACTAAAAAAGGGGAAAAACAAAAAAGCAGGAAAACTTGCAAAGGACCCAGAGCAAACACCAGGATGTTTCATGGGATCTGGAGAAACAGTTAAAGCAATAAAGGAGAAGGAGAAAACCCAACAAACGAGCCACACACAGAATGCCAGGGACTGCTGAGGGTGCAAGAAATCGGTTTCATTTGGAGCCCGTGTGGCAGTGGCAGTGAGCACAACGAACCCTTCTCACCGTTCCTTTTCCTCCCCTCGTCTTTGGCCGCTTTCTGCGGTGCCATCACTTTGTGCAGGGAGCTCCGGCTGGAGCTGGGCTTTCCCGACCCATTGCTGAGGATGGAGCCGTTCTGGCTCGGGGAGCGGCTGCAAGTAACCATAGCAACAAGGCAGGACGTGAGTTCTTCCTCCTCAACCTCCTTTCAAGGTTATTTCATTCGCACGGTTTGCATGGCTGAGCTTTCAGGTCTGATTTAGTACCAAAAGGAGACAGAACAGAAACAGCACGCAGCAACACGGTAAAGGCAGGGGCAGAGCGATGGGAGGTGAGCACGACTTTCCCAATTAGTTCAGGGCTGATGGGCATCTTGGTGGCTTGGAACGCAACTGCTCCTCATGCATCAGCCCCACAATGATAAAAGTGCCACCACCGAGGACAAAAAGTCCCATTGTCAATTCAGGATCATTAACCCAGACAAAATAAAGTAAACCTTTGTTTTAGGACGCATGGCTAAATCGATTCCTTTATTATTCAGCCTGCATTTACAGTCAGCTGTTGTCAGCCACAATGCAAAACACACTCACTCACTCTGCACATGTACACACACACAACGTGATAAGAAATTTCTCCTTTTCTCCTTTTGGCACATACTCTTGTTTAACCAGTGCCCTAATTGACTGAAACCCCAAAGAAAATGCTTGTTTTGATCAGCCATTGCATATCCTTGTCCTGAAACTGGTCCCTGCCCAGGGTGAGGAGAGAGGGCAGGGCAGAACATCTGTGCATTCAGTCCTAGCGAGGAGCAGCAACAGAAATTAGCAGCGTGCTCTGGGCTGTGCTGGGAACAAACTCCCACCATGGCTCCTCTGCTTTTTGGGGTGGACAAGTCACTCAAATCCTAATGCACAAGCTGGCAAAAGGAGGCCACAGTAGATAATAGCACATTTGGTGCTAGTCTGCATCCAGCCAGTTTTTTTTTTTTTTACATGTGAAACTGCCATAAAGGGAATGAAAACTCTCCACAGGACCTTTGTAGTTACTCACAAATCTATCTGCAATCTACCACTGAGTTGTCATGGGCAGTGACAGGGTGATGTAAAGAGGTTACATTAAAGAAAAAAAGTGGGCCTAGGCACAGAGGCTTCCATTTACAGAGAAAAAGAATCAAATCAAATTCTATTGCTGTCACAATGGTTTTATAACCAGAAAATGGTACTAAAACAAAACAACTGTCAAAACCATCCTGTAAATGATTGCCAATATTGTATCATCAGCTTGAAACATTCGTTTACCTCCAGGTCTGGCCACCCTGCCTGGTGTAAGTAGAAAGCATTTACTGTGGTCAGAACAGCAAGGGACAAATATGAGAAAAGCAATTATTGGGGATTCCCTTTTGAAGATAGTCTGAGTGGAAATATGTATAATTTAAGACAGGCTCTTTCCAGCTACAGGGGTCTAGGAGAATTCAACACACAACCCCACTCAGTCCAGCCTGAGTGTTTCCTTTGGAAATTCTGTTGAAAATAAGTAGAAGCAGGATTCCTCCCTATGAATCTGTCTGTCACTGCTAAATGGATAATCCCTGCCCAGTAAAAAAGATCCATCCAGGGAGAGACCAACACCTGCAGAAAATCTGGTCAACTTGGGAACACAGAAAAGAAATGAGCATGGACAGCTTGCACAATGATTTCTGTGGTGACACTAATCCAAATATTCATCCTTTTTAAGTGGTCCTCATATTACTAACTGAGAAGTTTCTTTCAGTGGTGATAGCGAAGCTACTCTGATCAGTTACCAGCCACTTCATGGCTGTCTGTTTTGAATTGACCTTTCCAGGCTGTAAAGTACCCTGAATGAAAGAGCAAATACATAAAGGGCAAGAAATATTTCTTCATCTTCAGCAACCATTAAATTCCACTTCCAGACACAGCTCCTTGGAATAAAAAATACTGAAATTCTACGTGTTCTTACTTACTCAAGTAATCACCCTGAGGGAGGGAAAACTAACTTTTAGTTATTTGCTTAGAAGGGCACCAAGGTTCAGCACATTTTATAATGAGAATAACTCTCCTAGATCAAGTTTGCTTATCGGCATTTGTTTAAAATGGTGCAGATTAAGTGGGGGATTTCTGCACTCACTCAAAGGACTGAGTGGAGTGCTTAATCACTTTGGTTAGAGGATTAATTAACAGGGCTGGTTTACATTTTTTATGTGTATTTACACATGGTTTTGGAGAGGCTTCTAAACATTTTAAAGAATGATTCCTGCAAAGACTTGACCTGCCCAGCACCAGCAACTGCTGTGGGTTTCATGGTCATCTTCCAGTTGTCATTTCTTCAAAGGATAGAAGGCTCTGAAAGGGACAGGTTCACATGGACTGTAAGACCTAACCCTTACATTTCAATGACTTGTAGCCTGAACAACACCTCGCTGGCATTAAATGGCAGAACAGTTTATATCCATTTGCAGCTGGCTCACTCTTCTCTGCTCTCTAAATCACATTCCAGGTGATTTAATGCACAGCCAAAGGGATGTGACAAACCAGGCACCAGCTCAGGATCCTTCTGTCTGTTTTTCTGCAGGGAAAACCTCAGCTGATGACCACTGGGGATGTCTACCCACCCCTGCTATCCTCCAGCCCCACACCATTCTGGCTGACACCTTCCACTTCCAGCACATCCCTGTCACAGTGTGCACCAACACGGCGCTGAGTATTCCAAGCTTTCCCGTTATTCCAAAGGGGGAAATATTGGACCAGATGAGGTGACTCAGCTAGGAAGGCTTGGTTTTCTCTAGAATTTCTCTGCATTAGTCAGCTGCTTTTCTTGTTATGTTATCAAATCCCTCCAAGAGGCCAGGCCCGTGGAATGCCTGCACGCTACAGAACAACAGCTACCTCTATTCAGGCTGTTTGCCTAACAGGTTTGTTCTCCTCTCTTCCCTTCAGCATCCATCCTCAGCTCCACTCTCATTTAATGCCAAGGAGAATGGATCAAGGAAAAATTGGCTTCAAAGCATGCAAAACAGCTGGGATAAAGGGATAATCTGCTTTGCTTTCCTGCAAGGACCGAGACAAGGAACACTCAGCTATTCTGTTCATGGGTGAGGGCAGACATGAGGTAAAACTTCCTAACAGGAATGGCAGGAGAGAACAGATTGCTGGAGGAGGTTGTGATCATCCCACCAGTGGAAGACTTTAAAATAAGGTAGATAAAGTTGAGTTAGGGGGGTGTTGGACCCTGCAGCAGAGAAGAGGAGCCATATAGCTTCCTGGGGATCTTGAATCCATGATCCTACAAGCCTAGAGGCTTGACATGAAGACAGTGCAGACCTGGGACACTTCACCCTAGACACTGACATTATCTAGTCTATTCTTACACTTCTGAAGTTTTGTCCTGCTGTAGATGCTTTGGATCTAGAGGTCTTCCATAATTTAGTGGGTGTTTGGGGTTTCCCCTTCTGCTAATGAAGGCATTGGGTCCAATTCTGGAATGGCAGAGCCTGCCAGTGGAGTGACAGCAATTGACAGTGGCTGAGGACCTGTCTTTTGGTTCCTTGAGTAATTACCAGTGCACATGCTACCTAGTTCATTTGGGCTCATCTGTTGTGCAGCACCAACATGCAAACAAAAGCCACTTCACCTCCTCGGTAATACTTCACTTGGTTTTACCTCATATCCTGCAGCAACCTTACACATCCAGCACAGACCAGTGCTATGCCAAGGATACATCACGGAGAGGAGCCACTTGCCACACACAGAGCCTGAGTGCCAAACCTTTCAGCAACCAGCAGCACATATCCTATAAAACCCCTGTGTGGAAAGGCACCAGCTGCCAGCCCGTACCTTTTCCTTGTTTCGTTGGATTTGGCAGTTTTGATGGTGCTCCCATCCTGGGTCGTTTCCCTCTCCTGGGAGGCAGGAGCATCTCTGACTGGAAGTGGAAGGATGACAGTTTCCTGAGTCACAGGTAAAACCTCATCCTCTGCTCCCTGCTGGCCCAAGTGTTGCTTGGCATAGTCAAAGCCTTGTACTGGCTGCAAAAAACAGGAGAAATAACACGAATTTCCAGCATGTATTAGATTTAACATAAATTTTCAAATTCAATGTAAAATTTTTCACTGCTCCTTAGCTTTCTTAATTACATAAGTGACAGGTAAAAATACATAGATTAAAATGTGAATGCCTAACAGGAAACCAATTTTCCGATGAGATCTCCATTCCACACATTTTAAACCTGATTAGTTAGTATAAAATTGATCTTGGCTAACCTTTCTTACCCTGCTCTAACACCCCCAGAAATTACTTTGACAGACAGTGGGAGAACGAGGATGTAGAAGAAAAAATTAGAAGTAAAAAAAAAAAAAAATAAAACCATACTGAAAACTTTCTTTGACAAAACCCTTGTGCTTCCAAAGAAGGTGGGAGTAATTTATTCCCAGTCAAGCCAAAGTAAAAAAGGCACACATCAGAAAGTTTCATGGGCAACATTTTCCAGAAAATAATTCTTTTCAGATCACTGAAATTAGATTTCCCCTGGCTTGCCAGTTGCCTACTGGGAAGGATATTACTGACTTCACATGTCTCTCTTGGGAAGTGGCATTTCACCAGAGCCTTGCAGCAAGGCAGTTCCTGCCCAGCAGAACTAACACATGCCTTCTGGGCAAAGCAGCCAAGGAAAGGTGGATTCTCTCAATGGAGAAATTAAGCATTTTAACAAAACTTGACTTTCCAAACTGCATTTTCAATTGGAAGGAAAAGAGAAGGGGGAAAAAAAAGAAATAAACAACAACAACAAAACCAACCCACATTATCTGTTAAAAAAAAAAAAAAAAAAAAAAAAAGAAAAAAAGAAGAAAAGAAATCACTCAAAGAAACAAAAAACCCCTCTGGAAAATGTGTTTTTGCTACACTAAGTAAAACTAACTTACTAAAAACAGGAAGCTTGCTCTTCCTAGAGTAAAAAGATTATTGACAAAATGCTAAAAGAGGACCACAAAACACTTCAAAGTTGAGAAAGTGGAGGTTTTAAACCTCACACATACTTTGGAATTAGTTCATGACTGATTACTCCAGGTTCCTGTCATGTCATCATTGAATATTTTGGTTCCAAAAGAAAATCAGCACAAGAAAAAAATTGCTGTTGGCAAAGAAAAAGGATGACCTCTGAAAAGCATTTTCTCTTGTTGTGTCCCTTACTAAATCTGGGTTGCAGCTCTAAATTCTGATACATTTCACAGGTGATCTCAGTCTGAAAAGAATGGGGCTGTTTTTCACTTTTTGAAAAATGCTTTTTCTTTGTGTGGACCAGCATGGCATTCCCAAACTCCTTCTCAGACTGAGGCTAATGGTTCCTAATGTGTTTCCATCCTTCAGCATTCCTCTGATAAGAAGCTTCAGTGCATTAAGGAGCGGGCTAATGCTGATAAGGGAGAGCAGACAACTCCACAATTCACCCCCATGGAACTTGCAATATATCAGAGAAATGCTAATTCACCATCACCCCTTCATGGCAAGCAGGATATCACAAAACAGCCACCAAATTAGCTACAGAGGCAGCAAAGGAAGGAAGGGAAGCAGAAGCTGTGTGAAGGACAGCTAGGAAGAAATTCTGCACAATATCCTACATGATAATATTGTTAATTAAAATATTGTTTTTCTACCTCATTAGAAATATTAAGTGTCAGCTAAGATATCCCTAGATATCCATGCCTTTGAAAGAGTCAAATAAGTTTCAACTTCATGTCTTATTAAAAAAAAAAACAAAAACAAACAAACAAAAAAAAAACCAACCAAACAACCTTTCCAAACAAAAAACAAACCAAACCAGAAACTGCAGGACATGAGAATTCCTAAAGAAGACTTCAATGCCCCAGCTCAGATCTGCCACAGGAAGAAAATGAAGCATTATTTTAATCATCAGGGTTCTACTTACCACCATGTCCAGCAACAAACTGCAATAAAAGGAGAGCTGAGAAAGTCATCCTCATCAGCAGACATATTGCATTAAATAAAATTTGTTCTTGGATCCCTGCTCTGTAAAAGCCCACAGGAGCAGATGGTTCTGCCACCCCTGGAGGGAACTGGCAAGGCTAAATCACGACCAGGCACAGCTGAAGCACTGCAGACAGAGATGTCCAATACATCCAAAATACTGACAAGACTGAAGGACTGAGATTCTAATAATTGCTTTTGAAATAATAAATGGGTAGAGAGAGACCATGAGATTACACTGCCTGGCAAAGGGCAGACTGAGTACAGTTGTTTCTGGGACTCTTTTTCCTTGTAATGATCGTGGAAAAGACACTAAAGATGTTAAAAAAAAAAAAAAGCCAAAAAAGGAAGGAAAGGAGGAAGGAAGGAAGTGAGGGAAGGGGAGAAAGAGAGAGGAAGAGAGAGAGGGAAAAAGAGAGAAAGGGAGAGAAAGAGAGAGAAGAAAGAGAGAAGAAAGAGACAGAGAGAAAGAAAGAGAGAAAGAGAAAGAGAGAGAACGAAAGAAAGAACGAAAGAAAAAGAAAGAAAGATCAGCCCCTCCCCTCTATTGGTATACCCAGGTACAGTCTCACTGAGTTTTTTTTCTCTGTGCCCTTTATCAAACTGAGAAGGCTTGTTTTCCCACAGCCTGCAGCACTTGCTTTTGCTTGAGGGTCTTAGACTACAGATCTTATCTCTCTTTACCTGCAAACTTATTCTTTCATGATTTTGAAAAAAAAAAAGGTGAGGGGACAAATGAGATTCTAGCCTTTAAGAAAGCATGCTGTGAATTAGAAAGCAAGGAAGGCAAAAGTTAACATCCATCCAAAACCTCAAAATAGAAACAGTTACTTAAAATAAAAACAGCGTTGAAATAAAAACACTAAAATAAAATCCCATCAGAATTTCACCAATTTGAATTTATACTTCTTTCATCTTACACCTAGAGAGAAAACTGGGGAAAAAAATTGTATTTTTCAATTTTCCTTTCCCCTGCAACTGCATCCAGGTGTCCCTGACTGCTGAGGCAATTCAGAACAGCACCACAACTCCCAGGAGAGCTCCTATAAACCACGCTGCGTACGAGAGGTCGTTCTGCAAACTTCATTTATTCACCCTTCCGTCTGCCACAACACAGAAAATCACGCCTTCATCCCCAGGCTCGGGCTGTGCTCCATGCTCTGCTCCATGCCCTCCCCGCCTCCCGCCCCCGCACACGGGTATTTAAGGTGTATTTAGTGGGTATTTAATGGGCATTTAATGGTAAATGCGTCGTTACCCCCGGCGCTGTCCCGGGATGCGCGGCTCCGCTCCGCAGCGTCCCTCCCGCAGGAATGCAGCAGCCAGCGGCGCCGGGCATCCCTGCCAGCAGGGCTGCTCTGCTCCCGGCCCTCCTCTGCTCCCTGCGCAGGCTGCTGGCTGCCCGAAAGGGCTCACACAGCCGCTCCGGGGATTTTCAGAGAATCAGAGGCAGAATACCAGCGCGGCTGCTTGAGCCACAAATCACTCCACCGCGGCTCCACGTCCGGCAGAGTCAGCATTAATCAGCAGTCTCGGGCTCTTTGCTCAGCCATGAAATACAACAGAGTCATTTTAAATGTGACACGGGTATGTGCTCGCTTGTACTCCCAAACTGCGTGAAATATGGCAATTACAGTTCAAGCAATTACCACTAGCCCTAATACTGGAATTCAAAATAAAATTAAAACTCTTCTTTTCAAAATTACCTTCTTTCAAAATTACCTTCTTTCATTATCTTCTCAAAATATGTTTCTTAGCCTTGCTTTAATTAAAGATGCTGAAATCAGGAATGACCAAATCAGTCCATTCCCATGTGGATTTATCTTCCTCAGTCCATATACCAGCAAAACTCTAAACTAGACCTGGCAGAACCTCTCTGATGGAGTCATCACTGTGAAACTAAATGGAAAGCAATTTAGCTTTCATTTAGAAATGCACCACTTTTCAGATAATGAATTAAATTAAATTTTATGGAGTCTCAAAATAAACCAGAAAAAGGAAATGCACTCTGGAAAGGGACCTTCTGCACTCCAGTTGCAACGAGAACAAACCTGCAGGAAAAGCTGGAAAACAAACTCCCAGGAAAAGGACCGTGGTGTGGGTGCTGGGAGCTCAGCACCAATTGTTTTGTTCCAGCAATTGCAGATCCAGCTCCCGTCTGATGCAAATGTAACCTGACTAAACAGGCTTTAACCTGAGTGTGTATCTTACAGCCTGATTAAATCTGATTTCTCAGAAACAGTAAAAGCCCAATTTTGTTTTCTTTTTGGAATGAAAACAATGGATTAAAATATGAAAATACTTTCAAGTTTTTTGTGTGCTACGATTTCAACCAGCAGTAGTTTGTTTTGGTTTTTTTTTTACATAGCAATTTTCTTCAGCTGGTAAGCATCCCATACCGATGGGCAGGTCAAAACAATGTACAAGGTTTATCTTTTTTTTTTTCCTTTAGCTGGGACCAAGATTAGACATAAAACTAATCAAATGGTGCATAGCATTGGCAACAGCCCCTAATAAAGCATAACTTGCATTTTAGGGGCTTCAATGGGGCATCTAATAGCATTGCAGTGATATTAATTCCTGTCTGTGTTTGTGATATTGTGTGTTGCACTTTTGCAGATCTAGTCTTAACACTGGCTGGATAACAGCGGATAAATAGATGAGCACACTGGAACCAAAATGGAAATGTCTTTTCTGCATCATTTTTTGATACAAATGTCTGGTTTCCAACTGGCACCAGCTGCACCCATCTGCAACGAACCTAAGATAAGGAGAAAAGAGCTGTCAAATGCCTCATGCCTTCCTTCAACTCTTCTTCCAATCTACATTTTTCAGCAGAAGCAACAGAGCTGAAATCTCAATAATCCTGCTGTCTGTAGCATTAAGAAACCAAAGAAAAAATTCATCATCTCAATCTCATGCCAGCGGAGAAGAACAAAGCCAGCTAAAAGGGCAAAGGAACAGTCTGATTTACACACAGCCCCAGAGGCTCAAAACTCCTATCTTTTAGTGGACCTGATCAAGAGCCATTGAATAGCAACATTGAGAGGGGAGGCTTTTTCACTATGGAGATAAAACAGTATTGTGTGCCATTTTTCTGTCAAAGGATCAAACTGGAAGTGCATTTGATTTGGGGAAAAAAATTATTGTAATTGATATGGATTAGTTACTTTAAGAAAAACATAATTGCTTAAACTCGACAAGCAATATACACAAACTAGAAAGTCCAAAACACCTAAATGAAAAATAGCAGTAGGAGAAAAAAAAAAGAAAAAAACCCCAAAGAATATCAATTCTGGATTTTATGGAGTCTCAAAATAAACCGGAAAGGGGGAATGCACTGGAAAGGGGGAATTGCACTTCTAGCAATTTGGGAGGAGAACTTTGGTTAAGGCCAGGTCTGAATTGCTACCAAACTTCAGACATTCCCACCTTCAGCAGGCAGGAACAGCTCAGGCTGTGGGTTTTGAGGCCCTACAGGAGATGTGCTGATCCAAGCTGTGAGTACCACCCCTTTCAATTCCAAACATTCTTCAGCTGCATCCATCCAAGAGTCACAGCCTCAGCAGGCAAATGGACCTTTGGGTGTGGGGCTGGGTCACTGACCTTGGCTCTCTGAGGCAGGTTCATCATGGTGTCTGGTTTGAAGTCGTTCTTGTTCTTCCTGCACAGCACCGCGGTGATGATGATGATGATGACGGTGACCACGGCGATGGGAGCCAGCACGGCTGCAATGATCCACAGGTTGTTTGGGGGGTTCTTCACCACAGCTGCAGAAAAAGGCAAACCAGCAGTGGTGAGCTCCACTGGGCAAGGTTCCTGTTGCTTCCAGAGCCTTCAATTGCCTCCATGTAGAAATAAAAAGCACTGTTAAATAATCTAGCTTTCTAAACAAGGGAATACCTTTTACTGGGAATAAAAAGGGGGAAATCAGCAACACTGTTGAATTCACAAATCCATGGACTCTCTTCTCTTAGTTTTATATTACCTGGTTATACGCTAAAGCAGACACCCACTCCAAAGTCAAGACAGATATCATATAAGATTTCACTCCAACGGTTCATTCACACAATAAACAAACAAATAAAAGGTGCAAATAATGCATCCTTGACTAGTTTTCAAACACAAGCCCACCTTAGAGCAATGTAGCATAGCATGTGTGTTGAAACAACACACATGGAGTTCATACATGGCAGCATAGATACTGGCAGAGCCTTTTAAAAAACAATGAAACTAGCTGGAATAGTTACTATCAATATCAATAAGGCAGTGAGAAGATGCTTCTCCTGTGCTCTGGAAGTAATTTATCATAGTTAAGGTCAAAGAGAATTCATCATTTCTGAAGGAGCAGAAATAATGAGGTTGGAAAGAGCTACTTGCAGATATATTAACGATGGCATCAAGAAAAGGGTACATTTCAGAAATGCAGCAATGCAAAAGCATTTTTGACTCCATTTCATCAGAATAACCTCTTAGAATGAGCCTTCAACTTGTTCACACATACAAGATCCTCTGGTGGCACATTCCCCGCTCCCTCATTTCATTTTGGAAGACAACCTCTTTATGATGCTGAACTTTGCTGTAGTGAAATATTTAGTGGACTTCCCCATGCTATCCCTGTTTATTTTGCTGTGGCACTGGCTGCTGGCGTGGGCAGGTAATTGTGAGAACACCAGCACGAAGCAGCCATTCCCATTTCCTGGGGGACCCGTGCTTTCAAATGTCATTGAGCTTATGAGCTGTCAGAGGCACTCAGCATCTCCCAGGATCAGACTTCAAATGCAAACCAGCTTCTTCTGCAGCAGGCATTGGGAACTTTATAGTTCTCCAGCTGAAAGCCTGGCTGGAGCCTGAGCCTGTTCTCTTGGTACATTTGCAAGGTTTTGCAAAGCCAGTGGGGTGGTGTAGGAACAGCATAATTAGGCTCAGAGCTTGAGCACAAGACTGCAAAAAGGCCAGGTTGGAGATGTTCAAGGTTCACTTTTCAACAGACTGCAGAATTCTTAATTATTGACTTTGACATTTAGTTTGGGGATGAAAGTGCTGTGGGGAATGAAATGGAATCTGAATTTTAACAAATAACAGAAACTTTAATTACAGACTGCTGCTGTGGAAGCAGCAAACAATAGTTAAAAAATTCTATTTATTGCTTCTAAGGGATGGAGAGGAAATGATGACCTTATGGCTAATAGGATAGACATTTAGGAATCCTAATTTACTTCTTTAATTCAGTTACCAGACTCTAATGTGACCTAAAGTCAGCCCATAGTTCATTCAACTCAGTAAGACTTCAGTGGAATTTGGAGCAAGCCTTTCATTCTGTTGTAACTCAGTCTCTGGCTCATAACACAGGAACATACATTTTTTTTGTGTTATTATTTGCTTGTCTCATCTAACCCAGCTATGAGCTCCCAAGGGTACATGTCTTTTCTTACAGTATTTTGGGACAGAACTTTTAATTCTGCTAGAACAGAAACTTTAATGAGCAAAAATGAAATCCGCACAAAGTATTTTCTGTGGCAATACAGACTACAAATAACTGTATCCAAAAGGAAAGAAATTGTGTTTTTTCCATAATAAGGTATAAAGATGGAATTACTTCCTACATTTCAAATACTCTACCTTCAGAATCCTCAGGTACCTCAGGTCACAATTTCAGTTCCTGTCTATTCTATTTTTACAGTGTTCTTTGCATACGTGGCTGGTATGAAAATCTACAGATGAATGAGGCTGCTTTATCAGACCATGGAAATACAAAGTTAGATGATGATCAGTAGACTCAATAATTGCCTAAATACCCACATATATATAAATCACATCACTGCACAAAGAGCTAGAAAACTGCTATATCTATATCTTCTTTAGTAAAAAATACATTACAGAAATATTCTCATGGAACACAAAATTACTTGGAATTTAAATGCTGGAATTAATGGAATGGAGATCCTTGGGTTGAGCTGAATTAAAGTCAGTAGCAGACCAGGATCAAATCAAGGATCAGACACAGTACATGGTGCATTCTCTGGAAATTGCATCATATTTCAGTCTTCTTACTTAATCCTATGTTTATGGATGGTATATAAATTACTTATTACAGTGGTCTCTTGTTTTCCTGTCACCATTTCATACAATTATTTCAGTACCACCACTCCTCCAGGCAGATATAATTGCACCAGGGACACCCATTTTATGTGCTGTTTTACCAGTAAGGAGATCCAGTGCAGAAGCCCACCACATAATTTTGATTCCTTCTAAAGAAATACTTTGGCAAAGTGGAGAAATCCAGTTAGCATGGATTTGTACACTGCATGAGATATAATTATACATTATGTTAACTGCATGAAAAAACACTCCAAGCTTCACCACAGGTTTATGACTATGGTCCAAGTATATAGGAATATCTAAAAAAAAAATTAAAGAAACCTGTGTCCACAATAACTCAGTAACTGATGAAGGTCTTGAAAGACAAATTTGAAAACAATTTACTTTTCAAGAATGGAATATTTTTGGCCACGTTATCCTGAATGATACTATCATATCTTGAATCTGAAAACTGCCCATATGCACAAGTAGCTCTTTTCAACTTCACTTTTCTGATTTGTGTCTAAACAAATCTTTAACAACCATGTCGTTTTCTTGGTGAAAATTATTATTTAAAAAAATAATAATCCCTTTGACATAGAAAGAATCTACACTATTTTGATCAAGTCAAAAATGAGGAACATCTTAACAGCCACCACATTTTACCTTTTATGGCCAAGTTATATGAATAGCAACTTTGCCCCAGTCATCATTAGTGTGTGGCGTCAGGATTTTGTCAGCATTAGAATTAATTCTGACTTTCCATAGTGCTCAGTTCATGGAACAAAACAATGGTTAGGTATGGAATTTTTGAAAGGGCTCTTACGATCAGCTTGAACTTGGATGACATAGCCCAGGGTCAAGGCCATCCTCTGCGAATCAACTGTACTCAAAATTTTGGCAGCTGCAGTGCCCAGCAAAGGCTTCCCGTTGTATAAAGTGTAATATGTCAGTTCAGCTGGCTCCTTGGGTCCTGGAATACGTTGAATTTTTACCATCTTTAAGGGAAATAAATAAATAAATAAATGAGGAGAGAAAGAGAAATAAACCGTGTTTGTGCTATACCACCACAAAACTTGCCAGGAGCTTTCTGGAGGCAGTATCCACAGGGAGCTCCTTCAAGACCTCCTACAAGCACAAGCTCCATGCAAATATCCTCATAGGATCAGAGCTTCTCCCCTTCAGAGCCCAGGTTATTAAATCAGTCAGAGAACTGACTAAAATTTTTCTTGAAAAAAAATTAAACACAATCCTAAGGTAAAACCCTACACTAAGAAAAGCATGTAGTAGAGGAAATGATCAAATTTTTAGACATTACAGTCTTCTGTAAAGGAGAAATTCTTATAATCTCTTCTAATACTGAAAATTCTACTTTACTGGCATATTGCAGTTGAAAAACAGCCTCACATTTTACTTCTATACCTTTTTTTTTTTTCTTTTTTTTCCCAGGTTGGTAACAAAGGAATCATGCTTTTCCCATTTTATTCTGCCCATTTTATTGGCGGAATTTTTTCCATTGTACCTCTACCTTTCCTGAGAGTGGAGAAAGTGTCAAACATTTCTTATGATGAGAAGAAAAAGGAGTTTTGTGATTCTTCTCCATTATGTTATGGACTAAAATTTTACAAAGGTTCACACTTTTGGCAAGTAAAATATGTTCCTTCTTTTAAATTCTTTGAGTGGAACAATACAAAGAATTGTGTGGGCAAATGGGAAATGCAATTACTTGGGTTCATATCTTACGATAAACAATTCTTGAAAAACAATTTAATTAAATTTTTTAAAATAACTAATTATTGAAGATTGAAGAAGAAATCTTTTAATTGCCCACAGCATCATTTGGCTTAATTGGTGAGAAAACAAACTATGATCAGTTCAAAATACAGAATGAAAAATGCTGTAAATAAGAGAAACATGATTAATAAATTACTCAGGTCTCAAGTCTCTACTTCATAACATGATCTGGAGCCACATGATTTGATGACTAACCCTGTATAAATAAAGGCTGCTTCATACTTTTTTTTTCTGACAAAAAAAGAGGAAAAAAAGAAGTTCTAGCTTTGAGTTACCTAGGAAACTTTTATCATGAAGAAAAAGCTTGGAACTCTTCATTATGCTGAATATGCTAAAATATGTACTTTGTGCCAATCCTCATAGCAACCAGAGAGAAAATATTTATGAACACTGATTAACTAATGATGATTTCTCGAGGATGGCAGGCACGCCAGCATGGCTGGCTGCAGAAAAAGGCACCACCAGCAGCGCCAGGCATCCTGCCCTCGCTGCTTTGATACCCATGAGAAATGCGGAAATTCCAGCCTAGAAATTCAGCTGGGCACATCTTTTACAGGAACTGAAGCAGGACAGATGCAAGCAAAGCACTTTTTTTAACCCATTGAGCACCTGCACGGTGTAGCTGCCCACGGTGGTGGCACGTCTGAACCTCCTTCCCTGCTGGTGGGACATCATGAACAGCGGGGCCAAGCGCTGCTCCATCAGCCTGGCAAAGCTCTGGTTGTTCAGCCCCAGCAAAGCAATATCCACCCCTTGGATGACTGTGGGAACGGAGGAAAAACACAGATCAGTACTTCATGCACCCACAGGTGAAGAAACACATGGTCTGTGGGACAGGTTGGGACAGGGAGGTGCAGACTAACTCGGAAATTAAACACCTGGACACTGTTATCCCCTCTCAGTAATGCCCTGTGGGGATATAACACACCTCTGTTTCAGTCCCTGCACTGCCTACCTCAGATAATATCAAAGCTATTTCAGAGAGTAAAAATCTCAAAATACCATTTCTAGACCTTCAGTTTACCAAAATGGCTCAGGGGAGCATCTACTCTGTGATCTTCAGTATAAAAATTAGGTTCAAACCTTTTTGAGATCTGCTGGGTTTATGCTTATTGCCAGATGCTCCTGCTAACCAGTTTCTGTCCTGAGGATTTGAACTCTGAAGTTTGGATTTTGTACAGTCTCAAACAAAATATCCTGTTTGAGAGCACTGAAACCTGAATAAACATTTCTGAAGTATAAATGAAGGCATCTGAAGTGTAAATCAATGCAAGATTTAAAAGACGCTGGATTCTAAAGTTCAAGAAAAGTGATATGACATGCTGATTGAATTCATACATATGTATGGTTTTTTCAGTATTATTTCAAAAAAGTCATCTGGGACCACCAGGATCCTTTTGAAAACAGAGTTTCCATTGTAATATCAATAATAATCCATCACAGCAAGTGCACAGAGGCAAGAAATGGAGTATCAGGTTCACAGGGTCCATACTGGGAGGAGCTGCTCCACTCCCTTCCGAGGATCATCAACTCTGCATAAACTTATGTTTTATTTCAAATTTATTAAAAGATGGAACTGGTACCAAGTCTATTTCATGTCAGAGCCCTTTGCTCTTGCTCTCCTGAGCATTAAACAATTCCAGGTACAGACACACCAACTAGAAGGGCTTTGGTATCACTCAAAAATATCTGAGGGAAAGGGTCTCTTTCTTGCCCAGTTATCATTTCTGAAGTCAAAATGATTGTGCATGACAATACGGCACCTGTGAAATGACTTGATAAAAGTATTTTGAAGCTTAAGAGCTTCAAGTGAAAGATGAAAAAAATCCCTGCACCCAGACAGTCAGCAAATCAAAACAAAGCTCCTTGGTGTAACAGCTTCACCTTTGTTCCTGGGTTATGTCTACATGTCTCTTTTGATTTCATATTTAAATCCATGTCCCAGGGTATAATAAATAAATAAATAAATAAATAAATAAAAGGTCTATTTGCGTCTCAAAACTCTTGGAAGGTAATGCTACTCTCAGAATTGTTTCAACCAAAGTGCTACAAACTCTGAGGTGGGTGTTGGTTGCTGGAGATGTCACTGTTTAAGATGCTCTATCACTCATGCCACAGAGTGACTGTAAGTTCATTTGCCCAGCTGAAGGCAGGTTCAGTGGGCAGCCACTTCTTCCTGTGTAAAATTACTGCACTGCTGTGTTCATATAAATGAGCACTAAAAATTATTACCTGGAGTGCCTGGAGGAGGGAAGAACATTAGAAAGTACCTGTTATCACCCAGTAGTCTCTAGTTGATTCCGAGACATCAAGGTTTGGATACTCCAAAGCTTTAAAAACAGAAGGTTAAATTATGTCATAATATTCCAACATCCTACACATTGTGCATCCCAAATCCCCAGCAGCAATAAATAAAATTGAACTATGGCCCAAGAGGAGATCTAGACCTTAATTTTCAGGGTTACAATTTGTTTTCTGTCTGAAAAAGAACACCAAGTGTAAACAGAAGAAGCACTACCATACAAAGTAGAACATATATCTCCACATAGTGCCAAAATACTGTCTGGGACTGAGTCTGGATGAAGCCCAGGAATGCCCAGAACTAAGAAGGATAGGTAATAGGTGTTGTATTCATCTCTGCTGCTTTCTCCCCTGCCGAAAACCAGATGGGATTCCATGATGATTCTGTGATTAATCCTTATATAGCCCAGACCATAGTTTCAGCCTAAAATAACATGAAAATATACCAGGATCAGATTCCACATGGACTGCAAACGAGACTAACAAAACTGTGAGCACACCTTGGAGTGTGGTGCTCTCTCACTGTGCACCATTTAAGGCATTACTACCAAATGTGTCTGCATCTGTGAGAAACTGATATTTGCTGTTGTGGTGCCTTTTGTTAGCTCCTCCATCTCCAAAGTGCACCAGGCTGTAAAGCTCAATATGCTGCTAATTCATTCCACAGCTCAGCGTTTGTTCAATAGATGAATTCCAGGAACTTAATTCAGAAAACATCCATGCTCTGCACGTTGATAGACTGCTACTGAGTCACCTTGATTTTTAAACCCCAAAGTGGCTGGGAATAGTAAACATTGTAAAGGATTTGATTGCACACAGTAGCTGCTTTTGAGGCGGACTTCACAGCGTGCCCTGAGCTGTGCATTTCCAGGACAGACTGCAAAGGCTCTGGAGGAGCCTACTGGGAAATAACATGCTCGGAGAACAACCTCAATATTTGTTTGATAAACTGAGACAACTACACTGCCACATGAATAAGCATCAAACACTCTTCAAAGGAAACATTTTCCAGACACACTATCAGTCTGGAGCCGTAAACACTGCGCGTGCATTAAGTTCATGAGTTTGCAGCACAGCTGCTGCACTGGGAATAAAACCAAGAGCTCCAAAATTAAATATAAGCCATTAGTTGTTTAAGAAACACTAGCTAAAGACTTTATCAGGTCTGTTTATCATGTGTGGGGATCAGCAGACAACTGCAGTACCACAAGAGACTTGCTGTGTGACAAATGGCTTGCACAGCTCCTGACTACCAAGCATGTGCTTGTGTTGCTTCTGTGAGAAGCACCACAATCCTCTTCCTATGCAACAGGCCTATTTTGGAGGCCAAACACTTGAACTGAGCACAGCCAGCATCAAAAGTTCCTCCAGCTCTCTCCTTGCACTCCTGGATGGCCCAGGAGATGAAGACATGTCCTGAACACAGGGCATCCACCAGCCATCAAAAAGGAGCCTGTCTGATGAGGAGTGGGGGACATTCCTTCTAGATCCATGACCACACCCTTTACCAACAGCCTCTCTCCCTCTGCCTCCCCTTGCCTCCCCTGTGGAAAGACTTTATGAAACACAAGCCCACTGTTGGAGCCCTGGTTGTTGACAATTTCAGACTTTCTGTGCTGACAGACTCTGACCCCCAGGAGAGCACTGTATTTGACCTGAGGAAATGGAGAAGGCATCCAAAATTGAATGATAGAACTGAAATTATGGGTGTGTAGTTTGATTAGAAGTGTGTAATATGTGGTGAAAAACTCAGAGTTTAAGGTTTTAGAAGATGGTATGTGTCTCTTACTCCGTGATAGAAACTCAGACTCAAAAGTGCACCAACACAGTGCAGGAACTTATAGGGCAGTTTCACCTATTTGTTTCCAAATATCGTAATTTAATAGGCAATGCCTCAAGAAAGACATACAAACCTCCTTTCCCAAAAATTTGCACAGCCACCTAAGTTAGTTGTGATTCCTGACTGCCTCACAGCAGAGAGAAACCACTTCTCCCACAGAAAACTCATCCTGCAAGTCACTGGTGAATTGCCCCATGTAATTTCTCTGCTGTTGGGCTGTTTGTAAACAAAATGGACTGAGGAAAAAAAATAAACAAATAAATCTGTGTTTTCCTCAGTGTTCACTTTCCAACAGTCTGCTGCTTCTACATGTACCCAGCATGTCTCTTCTCACCCCCAGCAAACACAGAACTCCAGTCCGCAGCAAGCTTAATTTCACACATCACATTAACAAGCAGATTAAACAGAAATCCCCATAATCAAGTTTCTTGCCCCTTTAATAATTTTGAAGAAACTAGCAGGCAGAGTCAGAGAGCACATGCACCACATGGGTTGCCCACACAATTGTCTCCAGCTCTCTGAATTCAGTGCCTTCACAGCAACTGCAATGCAAGAAAACCATTGATGCCAAAGTGCTCAGACCACCTGTAGACTGAGGATGCAGTTCTCAGCAAATGCACCAACAGCTTTTTAAAACAGAAGCACAGGTGGAGCTCACCCCACTAGCCAAACACACACTCCCAGCCTGATCCCAGCCCCTGGAGCAACCACCAGGGCTGAGGATTCCCCTCAAGCAAAGGGCTCTGCTGAAGCTAAAGCTCATTCAGTGCTGTGCTAAGCACTCCTGAAATGAAAACTTTGGGACTTTTGTGCTTTGCTTTTCACAAAACTACAATTTTATTTTGTTTGTAACCTATCACAGGAATTTTTTTTTAATTAATGACAGAGTATATATGTTTTTCCTTAGTTTTTTGCCAGTGTTGCTAGCAGCCAAAATAAACACTGAACCCAGGGGAAAAAAATAATCATCTAATTTCCCCCTTCCCCCCACGTTTTTTTTAACAAAATACAGTTTAAAAAGTAAGCAGAAAAACTACCTACAATCCCTGAGTTTCACAACAAAGCCAAATTCTGGTGCTGGCTAATCTTGATGCTGGGAAGGGAGCACATACTTACATTCAGCAATGGTGAGAGGTGGGTAGGTGAGGTAGAAACCCACCAGCTCAGCTGACAGCTGATTAAGAAGGTTGCTGGAAATAGTGCCATTTAGAGTTGTGCTTTGATTTTTCACTACATAAAACAGAGTGACAGCTTGGGAGACATTGGAGGTGTTCAAAATCTGAAACAGAGGCAAAAAATAATATGTTGCTGTGGTTCAGCTCATTAAAAAAAAAATGCAATACAAAGAAACTGGAGAAAGGCTAACCTGAAGAATGGATTAGCTATATCTCATCCAGCTTTACCTGTGTGATACTTTAATCCCTGCTTTAGCACTTACAGGGTTCCTGGAGGACAGCAGCAGGCAGAAAAGGTGCAGCCAGGACTGAAAATGTTTTCCCCTGCTTTTACCAGGAAATGTGGGATGAGGGAGAGGATGCTTATCAGAAAAACTATCCAGTGCTTGATGCAGAGAAATTGTGCTGTTTATCTTTCTGTCTTTGCTGCCTTCCTACTGCTGGTCTCTAGACCCACACATTTTCCATATGAATTAAGGGATATCATGTCTTTCTGTCCCTAAAATCATATGAATCCCTGCTCTCTTCCCCACTCCAGCTCAGTGCCTGTCTTTTCCTGAGCCCAAAATGTGATTACTACGTTTTGAGGACCAATTCTATTCAGTAAGTACTAGATGAGATTCTCAAACACCAGGAACAAAACCCATATGTTTTCTTGAAAAACTTACACCCAAGGGCAAGAGGAATGGGCTTATTTGGCTATTGATAGGTAGGCCCAACAGCATTCATGCATGTTATTTAAATACCCCATTTTTATGATTTGGATCACCAATTTAAAAGAAAAACCATGGTACAAAAAAAGCATCAGAAGAGCCCAAGGTCAGACCAAACGTCTGCCTAGCCAATGTCTACCTACAAATGGCTGGAGCAGAGGGTTGGAGAATTAGCACAGGACAAGAGGAATAAATGGCTCTCAACATTGTAAGATTATCCCACAGCTGTGTTAGAGCCATAAACCATATGCCTGGGTTTAAAAAGGGTTGATGACTTTTTATTCTATATCTTTGGCCAAGTGTTTTTTGTAATTTCCATATTTTTTTTCTCCAGTTACATCTGGACATCTTTACCACACAGTGTGTGAAAGAATGCTTCTTTTTATTTAAATTTGAGTAGTTCTGTTATGGGAAACCCCAAGTGGCCACTCCTGATTCATTACTAGCTGGAGGGCCATGGCCAATTTCATTTCTTCTTGCATGGAAGATGCTTCATGCCTTTTACCCACCTTCCCTCTACTGTCCTAGGGCAGCAATGTCTTTTCTAAACTGGCTCTGTCTGCTCCAGAACTGTTCTGTTAATTAATCTAAAGCACTCATAAGTGTTCTGTTGCATGGACTTAATCTTTTGCATGATACTGGAAGAACTTCAAAAAAATTTATCATGAAGATCATACCCTTGAGCTCTTACTCCCCAGCTTATATGTTGCCTTCAGGATCTCCTTCCTGTCTCTCCTTAAACTGGCAATACCCACAAAAACAGCCACTACCTTCTCCTAGAGCTCTTTCCAAAACTGCTTAGGTGCTTTGTGAGTTCTGCCACTTCCACCACAAGCAAATTAGGCACCATGAAGTTCCCCTCAATGCCACAGGTCCAGCTGTTGAAAAACTTGATAATTAATCACTTTATACACTTTATATACTGTGGTAGGGCCTCTCTTGCCCTGTGCTTTGCTGCCTCTCTGAGCTCCACCAGTTTGAGCACGAGTTCACAAGAAACAGCACCAAAATAATTAGCAGAGCGCTGATGGCAAAATTGTCTCCTTCTGAGGAGCATAATCCATACACAGAGTTTTATTAAAAATCAAAAACATATCATAATGTTGTCCAGAAGGTAGTTTCTCTAGTCCTGAAGTATGGTATAGAATGTAAGAGTGTTGGCCCACTATACATATAAAGGTAAAAATTTGTGGTGAAGTTGTGCCCGTGAGTATGAAACTGAAATGCATACCAAGAGAAAGAAATCTATTCCATTATTTCAGGGCTTAAAAACAACTGTGCCTGGCACCATCTTTATACCTGAAGAGCCTCACTGAAAGCAACTAATGTGTCAGAATAACATCTTCAGTAAAAACATAAATTTGGAAGACTGTGCTTTTATACTTGGAATTTCATTTATATAACTGAAGTGCAAGCAGTAAAACTCCAATTCTTGAAAAGCAACAGTCTTCTATAAATCAGGCATTTGTAAGTTTTCCTGCAATGCATAAATGATCTTATTGCAGATGAAAACATAAACTTCCTTCCACAGTGGCTAGCAAAGGCACTGTGTTGGAATAAAAACATACACCTGGCAAAGAATAACCAGGCGGGTTTGGCAGCAGGCAAAGCACCTAACACTGTACCTGAACAGTTAAGTTGTTGCTGGTGTTTAGGACCTTTCTTTCAGCATCCTGAAATGCTCTCTGGAGCCGCTGTTCCATGGTCTGAACAAATTTGCATGACTGAATATTGTCTGTTTGACCCACAAACTGCAGCTCTGGAAAAAGGGAGGCATTAGCATGTGGACAAAGTATTCTCAGTTGCAGCACCAAGAACAAAACGATCAATTCACACATTAAGCAGGTGAAAATAATGCCACTTCAGGAACTGCACTAAATTAGCCTTGATTAAGACAAAATGTAAGAATTAAACTGCATTATTAGAGCTGAAACTCTCCACAAACAAATGGAGATTGCTTCTGCAATGATATATAAGATGGTAAGGCCTGTTCACTGTGCATATACTTGCTCAGAGCCAGGCAGTAAGCAAAGTCATCCTAAAAGACAAGTTATAATCTTAAATCTTGCAGGTTATTTGGTCCTGAAAAATATAATTAATCATAATATTGATTCTCATTCTGTTTTATTTTCACTCTAGGAAAAATGTACTTGTAACTACCATAAGTATGTGTATACAAACATTGTAAGCACACATGTAAGAAATATTTTATTATCATTTAATATATCACTTCAGAGCACTCTGCCCTCTCCTAATCTTATAGTGCCCCACAATTACTCTGCACTGATGCTTGCTGCTGCATCCCCTTGATGCCTTTTGGGATTACCTAAAAATGGAGGCCAGACAAAATTAAGGAAAAAAAATGCAGTTGTATATATCCAAGGGCCTTCAGGTACATTTCAGGCAGACAAAGCCCATCCAGGGGCTACACCCAAAAAAATGGATGACAGGTCATGGGTTTCACACCTGGGTTTAATAACATGGGTTTCATGGGATTTATAAGCTTGGTCCATTTGTATATTGGGGGTTAATCCTCCAATTACAGCTTCAGGTAATGAAGTCATTACCCCAAGTTTGCTGCCCCCAACTCACTTTTCATCTCTCGAGGCCTGAGGCAGTGAGGTGTCCTTGATTCCCAGGCCTGGAGAGGAATTGTTCTGCCTCAGCAAACTGGGAGAACAGCAGCTAACACTTTATATGGAGTTCAGAGTTATACACTAAAGAATTTCAGGGCAACAAATATATGAAAAATAGAAAAGCTGAAACCCTAAGGCATCACCCTCACAGCAGTGCCCACAGGACACCTGAACGCAGAGCAGAGCCCGTGCTGCTGCCACCGCAGAGAGCCCTGGGCAGCGGTGCACGGACACACGGCCGGCCCAGGCAGGCACCCCTCGCTCACCCGTCTTCAGCTGGAAGTGGTAGGCGGGCAGGGGCTGCCAGGGCAGGGCCAGGGCCACCAGGGCCTGCAGGTGTGGCACGTGCTGCTTCATGTCCGCCGTGGCGTTGCCGAGGCCGTAGGCGAGCAGCTTCTCGGCGACTGCAGCCGGCGTGAAAACCAGCCTGCCCCGCGTGACATAGTAACCTACGGTCAGGTTACTCGACTGCTCCAGGATTTCAACCTAAAACACACAGGGCAGCATGGGTTTTTAATTTGTTTTTTTATTATTTTCTCACCCAGGGCACCAGGAATGTTTCTCTCTCTGCTCTGGGGCGCCCTGACCCCCAGGGGAGCACTGACTTTGACCCTCATTCATGGAGAAACTTTCCTAGAATTCAAAATAGAACAGAATCCACAAAAGTGTGCAAAAGATTATAGAGAGTAGTGTAGGTGTATCACTTGGTGAGAAATTTAGGTTTTGAGATTTTTAGTATGTTGTGGGTGGAATCAAGATGGAGGGCAGAGGGAGTTGTCCTGGGTTTCTTCTTCATGCTTCTTCTTCCTTCTTCATGGGTTTGGGTGGCATTTTGTAATTGGACAGAAAAGTCCACATTGCAGGCTCTGTGGGATTAGTTATTGGGTTGAAAGGGGAAATAATCTATGTGTCAGTTCTTAATTGGATAGTTTAGTCTTAAAAGACCATGTAACAAGAGATTGTTGGCCATTTTGTGCTTTGCTAATGAAAAGCTGCTGAACTCATGGGTGTAAGACTGTTTTACTGATAAGAAATAATAAACATTTGAGTCTGAACATGAACTCTCAAATGCCTTCAATCCAGACCCAGAGAAACCAATAGCCACTGTTTGTGGATGTGACAGCCTGGTCAGAGAGCGAGAAAACTAGCTAAGTTTTTCCAGAATCAGCCTGGGAGACTTTAAGGAGTTGAAGAGAAACAATGTTATCCAATTATTAAAAACAACCTGCAGGTGTTGTTTTCCTAACAGCTGTTTTCTTGTTATTCTCATAAGATTGTTTATAAATTAGTGTCTTGTTAATTAGCCAGTCAGGTGAAATGTATTGATTGAATGACCAATCAGGTCCACCTGTATCAGAACAGTGTATAAAAGAGTGTGTAAAAGAAGTAAAGATGGGAACTTTATGCCACTCAGCCTTCTGATGATTCCGTGTCATTTCTTACTAGACAGTGACAGCTGTTTGATGGGGTTTCTCACCCTGAATATGTGTCCCTTGCAGGGTTTTTATCCTGTAATCCCCCATAAACCCTATGGGGTCAGTTAGTGTCATATCAGACAAGGTGTGGATGCTGAGAACTGGTCAGAGAAGAGAATCAGATAAGCTTGCCCAGGAACTACTCTGTGAAGTTTTGGGAAAGTTCAGAGCAGGAATTAAAACAATTCTTAATCTTTGCAGCTGGTGTTGTTTTCTCCTAAGATATTTACAAGAGGGCAGTGTGCCTGATTATCCAGTGGTGTGAGGAATGTTGATTGAGGACCAATCAGGTCCACCTTCATTGTAACTGTCTATAAAAAGTGTGTGGTTTTTATTAAAATAGCATTTTGCCTTCTGAGCCTGTGAAGTCTATGTGTCACCTTATTCATCCATCCTCAGTACAACAGTGACAGACACGGTATCAGCAGAGCTGCTCAGAGAGTTTTAGGCCCAGCCCATGCAGCATGGGTCCCGAAATGAAGGAGTGCAGAACTGCTACCACAGCTGCAAAGCTCCAGGTTAGGCTGGGCCTTCATCCATGCACAGATACTGGGACATTTCACATATGCATGGAAAACCACAGAGCGCTTCCAGCTCCTCCTCCATGCCTGACTTTATGCATGTTTCTGTCATTGCAGGTTTTGCAGACAGATTTTTGAAAGACAAGATTTCTAATATTTGATTGGGCTGTCTCTTATCTCCTGTTCTCCTGTACTGTCCCAGAGGGTTAAGTCTATGAGTGGACCTATATGAGTGGAAATGTCAAACCACAAGAATGGACACACCGTGAGTCAAAACATGAGCTGAGTTTTACCTCAAAATTCTGTATTTTCCTCTGTTAGAAAAGGCAGCTTCCCTCAGTTTGCAAAAAGGCAGGGGACTAAACTTGTCAGTTTTTATTGCTTCTGCCAAGGAGCACACAATTCCCAAAGCAAGTGACATCCTCCACACTTGCAGCAATAAAGCACGAGGACCAAAGTCAACTTGATAACCTCTGTTTTGAGAAAAATTACTTTTTCCTTCCCAGAGGCTTGGACCCCACACAAGCCCCAACCTGAGTGCACAGGAAACTATGTCCAAGGAAAAGGGCCCTGGCAACCCATCCAATCCTGCTCCCACACACAGCAGTGCAGAGGTTCATGCAATTTAGCTGCAAAGTGATGAACACATCACCTCCATTTATTTTCAATAAAACATGCTTTCTCCCTGCTTGGGATTCTTGTTCCTGTGAAATTGCACCTGTCAGGTACTGGGTTTTCAGAGCAGGGAGTGGACTGACAGCAGTGACATCCCATTTACCAGCCATGCTTGCCATTGATCCAGGCTGAGCACAGCAGCACCCGGCTGCCCCTGAGCAGAAGTCACTCCTGAGCTGCAGGGGAAGAGGAAACTGCTGTCAGTAGTCGTTTCCCAGAGCACACTAAAAAGAAGTTTGCATTTCTCTCTTCTTCTTCATAAAATAAACCGCAAAAACTTTGGAGTATTCCTTATATTTTTAGAGACCAGCGTGCGTGCCACCTCTGCCTGCTCTCCATAGGAAAACCTCAGAGCTCCCCTCCAAGAGGCTTCCTGCACCCAGGGACACACCTGGAGCTGCAGGCAGCTGTGGTTCTTTGGTGGGAGAGCTGTTGTAGTGAAATCATGCAGGGAAAGCCAAGCACACTTACCTGAGCACTGACATTCTGGTTGAAAGCTTGTCTCAGCACTTGGTTGAGGCCTTTTCTCACACTCTCCCTGAAGGCATTGCTGATCATCATCCTCCTTGTGTTCAGAAAGAGAACTGTGGAGCAACAAAAGGCCACAGGGTGGTTTGAGACATCACCACGCTCTTGTTTGCTCTCTTTAATTGTTTTACATTGGGCTGGCTGTGCAGGGATCCTCAAAGCAGCTCGGATTAGCAGCAGCTCCAAAGACAAGAACTGCAGGGGCTCAGCAGCTCCTGAGCTCCCTATTCATCCCATGGCAATAGCCCACTGTTTCCATGTTTCCAGAGCAAGGTCTAATAAATGCAATTTCATTAGCAGCAACAAGTCTTTGCCATGCTGCCTCTCCAAGGAGGCGTGAGGCCAGTTGCTGCCTGAGGACAGACTGGCACAGCATTCCCAGGGGACTGAGCCAGAGCTGCACAGGCAGGCTTCACATCTTCATGGTCACAGTTACATAAAAGAAATCTGCTGCTCCACTGTTACGACTGTTTTCTATTTAGAAAGCACCTGTATGCTTTCTTTAATAAATCTATCACTCTCTCCTTCTTTTTCTCTTGTAATTTGCAGAAAGAGTTTTATAGCTGTGTTGAGTACTTTCAATCATATACTGTACACAAGCTACCTCTATCTTTAGAAATAGCTGTTGTACTCATCACACTATTGATGGGGATATTTAGCAGCTAAGAAACACACATTAGCTCCAAAAGCTGCTTATTTCACTGTAGCATGTATCATGCAAGGTCACAAACTCTTTTCTGTACCTATTCTTTGCTGAGATCTCCCAGACACACACATCTTCTGGTGCTGTCCTGCCACAAGGAGTCCATGAGAAGCCTGGGCAAGGTACCTCTCCAGGCACCTTTAGTTCAGAGTTCTTACAGCTAAGGAGAAGCTGCCCATGAAAAAAACAGCCAGAGCCAGAAGTGGCTCACAATCCTCAAAATCCTCCCATTTTGAAATGTGCAACTCTAAATGCTAAACAAAATTTTCAAACGGATCTGTACTGATAGATTTAGGTGTTCATACTAGAACAGAATTGGGTTTTTGTGCATAAACAGGGCTGAGCACCAAGGCAGGTCACTGCACTGTCCTCTCCAGTAGCACAGACCCCTCACTGCAAAACAGCACTAAACCATCCCAGCTTACAGGGCTGTCCCTCCACACAGGCAGTGCTGCAGTGACCCCTGAACTCCACAGCACCTGATCTCACCACTTCATTTGACACAGTCGTGTTAAAACCCAAGCCACAAGTAAAGCCAACCCCATTTCCAACTAACAGCCCTGCTCAAACCCATCTGATTCGTCAGCACAGATCAATCACTACTGCCCCACATTCCTGGACTCTGGGGTGTGTTTCTCACACCTCACAGACACAGGAGAGCCCTTCAGCAAAGCCAGAGGCTGCACGTACCTGTTTTCACCATCATGTTGGCAGAGAGCCGGCAATCCAGGGAGGGAGCTGCCGTCATGTTAGCGAAAGCGGCTGCTGCCGTGGTGTCGGGAGCAGCAGGGCTGAGTTCCACGGCAGGAGGGGGAAGCCTAGTTGTTTTCGCTGATGCTGTAATAGATGTCAAAGCTGCTGTCATTGTCAGTGGGGATGGGGTTGGCCTTTTGCTGATGTCTGAGCTCGGGAACTTCTGGGTGTCAGTTACTGTTGTTTCTATCTGCCTTGGTACGTGGGCTGTGGGTGCGAGTGTGGAAGCTGTGACCGTGCTGCTCTTGGGGGTTATGAACAGAGCTGGCATGTCCAGAGGTGAGGCAGTCGTGTTTCTTGTTGCAAAAGGAAAATCTGCCTGTGTTCCTACTGAGCTCAGATCCGGTGTCAGTTTTGTGGCAGTGTTATTTTTTGTTAGTGTCAGGATCGGTGTGCTTAGAGCCATCACGGATGGCAAAGGTGTGTTTTCAGTGCCTAGAGAAAAGAAGGAAGAAGCTGGCACTGGTGAAGCTGGAGATGATTTTCTTGTTAGTGGTTTTGCTTCTGAAGTTTCTACTGTAGGTATTGCACCAGAAGATACTCCAGATAACACTGTAAGAACAGAATGGGTAAAGTTGGTTGTTGACAAAAAAGGAGACTCTACCTGTGTTGGTGATGCATGGACAGAAGTTATGATGACTTGACTGCAGAGCACTGGTGGTAGGGGTTTGCAATGGGATGCCCTTGGCAGCATTATTAGATATGTTACTGGGAACTAGACTGACTTGTAGCATTTGTGTCCCACTCCTCCTCACTGAATATGGGTGGATATTTATCAGCCATAAACAAATAACAAGGGGACTCAACTGGTTGTCTGCAAAATCTGGAAAATTCCCCGAACCAGTGTCTTCTCATGTTGCCATATTCTCTTCACAGAGAAAAGCAAGGCACAATTCTTCCCAAGAATATTTCTGAGATTCACATTATCTGAACATCAGAGAAAGGGAAAACACAATTCTTATCACTTGTTGTGCCTGTGTTGTGCCAAAGTAGAATGCAATGTGAGGATTGTTTATCCAAAGTGAGGATGTTTTGTTTCCTTAGCCTGTCAGGGCCAGGAGATGTGTGTGTGTCAGACTGTCACGAGACAGTGGCGAGAGAGTCAGATGATAAGTACAATTCTGTACAGTTACAAACAAAAGTAAGTGCATGGCAAATTCAGTTTAGATGCAATGTATGTAGTATAGTATAATAAAGTAATTAATTAGCCTTCTGATAAGTTGGAGTCAGATGTATCACTCTGTCTCCCCTCGTCAGAGTTGCCTTTGATTTACAATATTTGCAGATAAAACTATTCAAGAGAATTGAGCCAGAATGCTTGGTTACAGGGAAGGGCAGTGTGCTCAGGGTGACACTGCTTCTGTTTGGGGCTGAAGTAGTCAAGCTGTCAGTGAGCTGAAAAGCTAGCACTGGTGCTGTGCCTAATGTTTTCAGTCAGTAATCTTTCCAGCATCCCTTGTTTGGGATTCTAGAGAGCTGGGGAGAGCACCTGCAGCATTAACAGGAGGCACATGTAAATGGAGAGGTGCTTTCTTATGTATACTGATAGGAACCTCTCCAACACAGAAGAAATCAGCAATGTTTTCAGCCGTATTTCCATGCTTTTTTTGCAGAGAGTCAGGTATGGTCAATGCAGTAGCAATGGATGAATACTGAACAGGAGATGTTTTCAGTGCAAGACCATCTACATCCAACTGTGAAAAGTTATTTTTTTAGGAAAGGGTAAATTTGAAATGTTTTGACTATAGGATGTATATGTATAGTTTGCTGAAGGGGTGGAGAAGAGTGGCTGCTGATTTGTATTAATTTTGTTTTGCAGACTTGCCACTACTGAGTATGGTGCATAGTATTCATCTTCCAATGGAAAAGTACTTGGAGCAACTTCCCTTCCTTCCATTTGGACTAAAGTTTTCACCGAAGGAATACTAATGCCAGCTGCAGACAGCAATGCATTATTGGTCCACGTAGAAGCTGAAGTTACAACTTCAGGAAGGCTGACAGGATCTAAATTGCTTTCAGAGTCTGCATTCAAAATCCTGGAAGAGGCCAGAACTGTGGCTGTCCCTCACTGTTGTCATGGAAACAAGTGATGGCAACGTACCCCACGCTGGAGGCATGACATAGGCGAGTGGCTTTTTATCAACTGAATACAAAGTCTGAGCAGAGGTTAAATGATTTAAAGCTCTTGGAGATGAATACTCTGCATGTGGGGTCACAAGAGTGGGTACTCTCATCTTTCTGTCTTCATTTGCAGTTACATCTGAAGTTTCCAGGTGCAAGATGCGCGGTCACAAAAGCAGTAGTGGCAGAAGTATTTGTGGTAGCTGGTTCAGGTTTTGGAAGGCATACAGTGGAAGTAATTAATGGCACTGCAGCTAGATCAAGAGAGAGTCATCATGGCCATCTCCAAAACACTGTCTAGTATCCTTGATCCTGTGAGGAGTGGACAGGTTTGGATACCTGGAGAAACTTTGGAAAGCTGAGTTCCATAATGCAGAACATTATTAGCAGTAAAGTTCACGGACATCTTTGCTGTCACTCCTCTTGTGAAAGGCTGTTGAGCTGTCCTTGCCACAGGAAAGCCACCAGGGTTTGGGAGAACAGGGCAGAAGCAGCTGGGAGTCTCATGCTATTTGCCTGCTAAGTTTCATCAGTCCAGTTTCTGCAAAGCTGTAATTCAGAGGCAGCAGCGGGAGGGATCTGCAGCCTGCCCTGGCCGGCTGCTGCCGCCCTGGGACTGGCTGTGCGTGCTGCCCCAGTAAACACCTCGTTTGTCTGCGTTAGCGAGGGAGACCGTGGGCTTGCTGGAGAGGAGTGTGCTGCATTTCTAAAGAGAAAATCTGTTTTGCTTCTAAATTCTCCTACTGGCAGCACTGCACTGTGAGCGTGCTTTGCATCTGGAAAAAGTGATATTGGCAGTGAAAGGGAGGACTTGCTCTGTGCTGAGCTGGAAACCTCAGCTGAGCTCTTGGAGGATCATGACATGAAAGGTGCAGGGTGAGAGGCTGTAGTGCAATTAGTGCTGTGAAAGACTGAGGGTGAGTCATTGGCAGTATTACATGTGGAGTACCACAGCACGGAAGACTGATGTAGGAACCGCTGCTTTATCCTGAAAAACTGATGATGACAGAAGAGTGGTACCACTTATTCTGCCAGTCAGTGCTGTCCTAAATTGCTCCAGCAGAAGAGACATTTTACATAATCTCATCAAGGAGCCGTGACAAACTTTTGGAAATTACTGTCAGGGGAGACTGATGCATTTTTGACCAGAATATCAGAATCTACAAATGACAAAGAGGTCCTTTCCAAAGGAAACCCTTTTCCCACTAACTCTGTGAAATGCACTGTTGTTGATCCAATAAAAATCATGGCCCCCATAAACAAGCTGGGACCCCTTCTGTGATTCACCACACTGGAATGCACCATGCTTAGAGCACTATTCCTGCTTTCACTAACCTGTGAGCTAGCTGAATCTGTGCTGAAGAAACCTTCAGGATCTGCAGACAAAGGCACTTGGATGGGCAGTACAGCTGGTTTAGAAAAGTTAATGGAATGAGGTGACTGGATTACCAATGAGGAGGATGATGGTGATGGAACAGCGTCAAGCATGCCTGATCCTGATGTGCTTTCTCTGGAAATGGAGGGTGTTTTCTAATGGCACTGGCTGGGATGGCACAGCTGTACTCAAATGTGTCACTGGTGGTGTGGTGGGCAGTGTGGCAAACATACCAAGCTGAGGCAAACCTGTTAGAGCAGCTGTGTCATCTGCATCTTGAGAGGACGGCCTCAGAGGCGACTCGGCTGAAACCTCAGCGGGTTCCTGGGGTGCACTGCTCCCACTGCCTTGGTAGAGGGAGGGTGACAGGTGCATCTGATCCAAAGTCCTGGCACGGGCGCCAGTCAGCGTTGTTTTGATCATCTGAAGCAAGTCTGCGTTCTCCAAAGTCTGTCCCAGAGAAAGATCAGCTACTGAGGGAGTCTTGGTTTCTGTGGAAGGCCGTGTTGGTGATAGTATAGATCTCCAGTTAGGAAAAGATCCTGTAGAAGGAGCATCATTGACATGCTGTTGCCTGACACCTGTAAAATAATAAGTAAAATGAGTATATTCTTCCCCAAAACGAAGAGTTGTTATCTTGTTGCTACAAATCCCAACACAAAATGCATTATATTTGGAAAAACATTTGATTTTTTTTATTGTTTTCAGAGTGCATAAAAATTCAGAGAAAGTTTACCAAAAAAAAAAGCCCCAAACATGAAACCCTGTGAAAGGTTCAACACAATACATTTCAAACCCTTCAACTCGTTTCATCTGACAGAAGAATGAGAACATGGAATAGCATGGCATTTTGGCCATGCTATTCCAAAATCCTACTTTTACCAGGGATGTCTCAACATACTAAAAGACACATCCTTAAGCCTGGGACAATTCTTGAGGTTATCATGAGTCACCCTGTGTCAAAATACTGTGAGAAGATGGGTTTAGAAGCAGTGCAGAAAGGGTATGGGTTTTGGCAAGCCAGCTTCACTGCCTTGGCATGCAGTCTGACATGGGAATAGTCAGCACTGGCTGTGTTCCTGCAGGATGCATCTGGAGGTGCTCATCCTGCCAGCTCCAATAAAGCGCGCAATTACAGACACAAAAGGAAGAAAATAAAACAGGGATGAACAAGAGGAGAGGGGGGCAAGATCCAAAACAAATTAGGACATTAAACTCTTTTTTTGACATGTGCAGATGCACAACACATCATTTCAAACACCAGTTTACTCTGCATTCAACACCACAATGTTCCTAGGCTTTGTTTTCTTGAAATGATTACAGTTATCCCAAAAATCACAGAATGGAAACACTCCCATTTGTACTAATTTAAAGATTAAGATTCACTCAAGGGTAAAATTTAAGGTGGTGGGGTTTCTTTTTCCTTTCCCCCACGTCAAGACAATGGATCAAACCTCAGTCCTGGCACTTGGTACCATGCCAATCTGTGTCCCCTTGCACAGCCAAGCAGAGGGAAAACATGGAGCTAAATCCTGCCCTCCAGCTGCAGCACATCTGGATCAGACACAGGGGACGCCAACCTCCTCCACAGCCCCGTGAATAACCCAGCATAAAGGTGTGGAAAAGCAAGCAGAGCAGATCTTGAGACACATAAAATGGGCTGGACACTGGCTCCAGCCACCCATGAACCCAAGGGTCAGCAGAGCCAACAGCACAGGCTGGGATCAGCCCACACGGACAGGAGCCAGCAGTGGGACACTTTACAGCACAAGGGAGGAGAATGGGTCACATTGCACCTATTTGTTTAAATCTAAGCTTCTTTCTTTTTACAGTTTTCTTTCCTCCCAGGTTTCTACACCACCCATCCTCCATATGCACAGCCCACAGCAGATGATTAGACCAGCTCCTTCAGGCTACCGTGTGAATCTCACAGGAATGTGCTAGAATTATGGTCAGCATTTTCTCTCTCCAAAAAATAAAATTAAAAAAAAAAATTAAAAAAAAAAAAAAAAAAAAAAAAAAAAAAAAAAAAAAAAAAAAAAAAAAACCAAAAACACCAAACCAAAACCACACACACAAACACCAAGAAAACCAAAACAGTAAACCAAAACCTATGGGAGATCTTCCATTCCATTTTATCCCTCTATTTAAGAGTTTTACTAAGCCATGGTGAAAAACAGCCATTCCTATCTCCTTCACTAAGATGCAAGAATAATTACAGTCTCCAGAAGCAATTTGGCTTAGGGAAGCAGCTCCAGGATGGGCTGGAACAGAGCTCTGCCCTCCAAGCAACCAAAGAAGTACCCAGACCTTTCACCTGACACAGGTTAACTTGCACACAAGCAATCTGGAGAAAAGCAAAGGGAGGCAGACACAGGGCTACATATGGCAAGGAGAGACAAGCAGGAGAATAATGAGCCCAATTCACTTTTATGGACCTACTCCAGAAGGTCAGCAAGCTGGACAGGAGGCTGCAGAGTCCACCAGGGAACTGGACCCACCAGGAGAGGTTTGCAGCACAGAAAGGACACTTTTGTACTTGGGCCTTGGCTGCTGCTGTGTCATCAGGGGACTGGAGAGTGGTGTGGCCTGGTGTCTGACACTCTACATGCTCCACCCTATGCTGGAAGGCACACTGTGTTCTAGACTGTTTTGATGGCTTTTCCTTCCTTGTGAGTCTGGCAGATTTTTAACAGAGGGTAGGAAAGAAGATGAGATGAATTTTGCTCAGCTAGAATAGATTCAAACATGTGCCTGAAATTAAGAACTAGCTGATTTGCTTTGCAAAACCAGACTTTAGGCTACCTGCAGCTTAAATATCTCTGCTGCTGAAGTCATCATTACCCAACCTGTTGCACCTTGTTTCACCTCAGAACTGAAAAGTGACTGCAAAGCCTTCGTGTGGGATTTCTTTTAGCACTTAGTCCTAGAACTAATCTAGCACAAGTCCTAAAGGGGACTTCAGCTAGTCAATGTCTTCTACTTTTCCAAAACAGCAAAACCTGTCAGCATGAATCCTCTCACAGACTGCACCATTCTTCACACATTTCTTCACACGTTGGTTTAATGAGAATGATTACAAGCAGAGAGACAACATAAGCCTGGAAAAAGCATTGATGTTACCTCATATTGACAAGAAGCGAAGAAAAGTTCAAATATTGCAAAGAAGATAAAACACAGAATAAAAATACCCTCTAGCCACTTCTTTATTCCAGTCCTTCAATTCTTGTTCCTTCCATTCCCTACCAACTTCCAATTTCTCTGTTCATGCCCATTAATGGGAAGTCAAGCTCCCAAGTTATTGAAGCATTAAGAAAATTATACAATATGCTGCAACCTATGTATGATGCTGGCATTCCACTGCAGCAGATTCTCTTTTATTCTATGCCTATGGAGAGATATGGACTGTCAGCATCTGTTTCAAACTGCTGTAAATTCAGCATCCTGGTAGTAACCAGACACAATACATGGAGTTTAAACTGAAGGACATACTCTGTGCTTGAGAATTGCTAGGACAGCATCAGCTCCCTGTCAAAAACTGTGCAAAGCAGTACTGCATCATGGAAAAAAGGGCAGGCAGGAAAACATTTCACTTCTACATCTATCAACAGCTGAACACACTTGATGAAGGAGGAGACAACCAATTCAAATCAACAGGAAAGCCACAATGAGATCTCCCCAGAGCATGCATTGAGCACTGAGCCACTGCTGGTTCACACCAGTAGCTGCTTCTCCTGCCTCTAGATTACCTGTTATTCTTTCATATCTCAGCCTGCTGATGAACCACCACCTCCAAACATCCCAAAATCCATCTAGCAGTAACCTCATTACAACCGCCATCACTGATGAGGGATCTTTCCATTAGCAATGATGAGGAATATTTCCAATATGCCAGAGCAGGAAGTTAAAAATCAGTCCAGTTTGGAGAAAACCATGTTTTCTACATTTCTGAGCACTTTTGTGCACACCTAAAGGACCCGCACCTCTCCCCTTTAATAGTGAGGGTCCCCATGAGGAAGGTGTATGTTGCCATGAGGGCACCCCTCACCTTCTCTTCTCCAAGCTGAGCAAACCAAGGGACTTCAGTCACTTCCTCCACATCTTGCCCTCAAGGTCTTTCATCACTTTCATCACCCTTCATCACTCTAACAATGTCCTTCTGCCACTTCTGAGTCAATAAAAAATATCAGCTCAAAGGCATCTTCAACAACAGAAGATTTTTGTTGTCTCAACTTTGGTTGCATTACTTACAGATCACCTGGACTGATAACATTTAAAAGTGGATCTGATAAAGAGCACACTCAGAAATTTTATTGCATGACTGACAAAGGCATCTTCCCCATTATATGTCAAGTATGTATCTTTTCATAACCTTCAGCATACTGAAGACAGAATTTCAATTTTCCAATCAAGTTGCTTTAATTATTCATTTTTGAGGGGAAAAAAAAAAGACAAAAAAAAATCCCCAACTGCTATTAAGTACTGTAAAGGCTAAATTTTAGGAATAAAATAATACCTATATAAGACTAATTGTAGCCACACAAAGCACAGCAGAAATCCAAACATTGTATTACATAAGCAATCTGGATTTTATACAGCTCTAAATCAATCAGCCCTAAGGGAGGGTAACGCCAAAGACACCTTATAAAAAAAATCAGACTGTGAGAAATACAATTACTTGCAAACAAACACTTCAGCAAAGCCTTTGATAATGTCTGCCAAACACTCTCCTGGAAAAGCTGGCAGGCCATGCCTTGGACATGTGCACTCTTTGCTGGTTAAGAACTGGCTGGACGGCTGGGCCCAGAGAGCGGTGGGTATGGTGCCACATCCAGCTGGGGACAGTCATTAGGGATCAGTGTCAGGGCCAACCTTGTTTATTATCCTCATTGGTGATCTGGGTGAGGGGATCAAGGGGATCCTCGAGAAGTTCACAGGCAACATTAAGTTGGGCTGGAGTGTTGAACTGCTGGAGGGTGGGAAGGCCTCTGCAGAGGGATCTGGACAGGCTGGAGGGATGAGGCGAGGCCAACAGGATGAGGTTCAGAAAGGTGAAGTGCCGGGTCCTGTGCTTGAGTCACAACAACCCCATGGAGTGCTGCAGGCCGGGGCAGGAGTGACTGGAAAGTGGCCCAGGGAAAAGGAGCTGGGAGTGCTGGTCAACAGCAGCTGAACATGAGCCAGGTGGGCAAGGAGACCAGTGGCACCTGGTGTGGATCAGAAACATCCAGCAGGAGCAGGACAGTGGCTGTCCCCTGCACTGGGCACTGGTGAAGCCACACCTCCAGTGCTGTGTCCAGTTCTGGGGTCCCTCAGTTCCAGAAGGACATTGAGGGGCTGGAGCGGATCCAGAGAAGGGCAGTGGAGCTGGGAGGGTCTGGAGGGTAAAAGCCCTGTGAGAAGCAGTTGAGGGAGCTGGGGGTGTTCAGCCTGGAGAAGAGGAGGCTCAGGGGAGACCTTACCACTCTAGAACTGCCTGACAGGGGGCTGGAGCCAGCTGGGGATCGGCCTCTCCTCCTGGGGAACCAGTGACAGGATGGGAGGACACGGCCTCAAGCTGCACCAGGGGAGGTTCAGGTTG